GGTTCTATGACGTATATTTGGACACACGGAGAACTTACATGTGCAAATCTAAACACCAAGTACTCATAAAACTAATCTTCCACAACGATATAGGCAATAATTCGATATTTTATTACGAGATAAATATTGAGTTATTTAACAAGGATATAATAACTGCTTTTGTGTCATCTTCGTCTTGTAACATAGTCCAAGAAAATCGGCGTTTAAATACGAAGTTTTGGTAAAAACTTGAATTTTTGATATAAGTTACCTACTTTGAAAGATCTAAAAATGAACTGTGAAAGATTTTTGTAAATTCGTCTCCGATAAGGAGTGGAATAAATAAATAACATTATTTTTTCAAAATTTCGGAGAAACGGCACAAAAAGCAAGACCAATATTAGCGTATGGTCAGCAAATCCAAGACCAAGCATGCAAGACTCTTGCGATCTTGCATTTTTCACGTAAATGATATAAGAAATTACTTACTCAAAATTATTCTTTTAATTTATTACAAATAGGTTTTCCGACCATTGTATAAAATTTTAAAGAAAGAAATGCTGATTCAATATACTATATCGAAAAATAAAAATTTTTGTCAGGCAAAATATTCTCTGATAATTTCTTTAAAGTTTTATTTGCGTTAAATTACTAAAACTAAAAATACTCTCAAGGTGTGTGTGGCGAGATCTGCCGGGGAACGTGCCAAGTCGAAGAAAAGCGGGTTCTGTAATTCCCAACCAGTGGAAATTTCTGGAACCAAAAAGAACGTTACAGATGATTTTCGAACGTTCTAGAAGCATCCTCTAGAATATACAGGGTCTGTTTTGTATGGAAACGGTCGATTATTAGGTAAAATATAGGATGTACCGCAAAAAGTTAAATACAAAAGTTATAGGATTTTTAATTATCTATTAGCGAGTAATAAATTTAAGTATGCAGGGTCGGTCATAAAGTCGTGGCACATCATAGTTACATTTTTTTTAAATGGAATCCCCTGTATATTATTGCATGTTTCGGTAGTGATTTTTTGTTCATATCTGGTTTTATTGGCGTCAAATCCTTTCAAATGGAAAATTTCTTCAGCTTGACTTTTTCCTCCTAAATGCCAAAAGTTTCAAAAGCACTATCTAATAAATAGAATGTTCACGAGTTATATCAAATGTACAGACTTGAATTATGGAAAAAGGATGATTGATATTCAAGTCTATATAGAATATATCGAGTTATACAATTAGGGTGGAATGAAAGACATGGAGAGAGGCTGGGCTTTATAAAGATATATTGTATAGGTAACATCTATTATCACAAGTATTGAGAAACTATTTATAGTACATTCTGATTGTGAAGTAAGAAAAAAAATGTCCTGAATTATTAATTTTCTCCATACCAACCGTAACAAAAAATATTTTAATTTGTTCAAAGTGCGTAAATACCGTATGAGCGAAAAAATGGCGTCCAGTTGGCTTGGAAATGACGATCTCATGACGAACATGTTTGAATTTTGGTTGTTTTTTTCTTTATGCTTACCAGTCTTTTATTTGCTAGTAAATGTATAATATGCACTCGCCGGCAAGAAAAACGGGCATTTTAAAATTTTCATGTATTTTAAATTTTTATATAATATTGTGTTCTAGTAGACCGATTTTGATGATTTTTTAAGCAGTTTGTAGCTAAATTATTTGACTTTTTAGTATCTCTTTCTAAATTAAAAATGAAAATTGCATCTGTCAATTATACGAGGAAAAACAAAATTTTGATATTTTGGTGAATGTTTGAAACACCCTGTGGAGTATTTTAACAAAGCAAGGAGTTTAAAAATTACTTTACCATCTAAGTGTATATTTTCTTGATAGTTTGTTTTTTGATTCATCTCAAAAGCTTTATTTTTTTGGAGATATTCGCTTTTGAAGGAGTCACTAACATTTTTTCGAATATTTTACTTTACATAGTTGACATATGATATGTCATTCTATTCAGAATGTCATTTTCTATTGAATAAAGTAAAAAAATACCGAGGGTGCCATTTAAAAATCAAAAGTTGTAGTCATTTCCTGTGAAACCGGAAGTGACCAAAAAAAATTGAATACGTCAATTCATCCTAATTTATGTCATATACTAACATACCAAATCTCGTTTATTTATCTGAAAAAATAAAAAAGTTATAGGGGGTGAGGCACTTTTGAGACGCACCCGGTATACACTCACCGGCACGAAAAACGGGCCACAATAAAATACAGGTCAATACAATAAGGAAATTAATGTTATTTTTATATTCTTAATGGCTTATTATAGCCGTAAGCAACTTATTAATCAAAATATCCATAGAAAGCGTTCAGATTCAACACAAAACAGAAAATTTTACCTACCGGAAGTCATGCTCTGTTTCTTTTGGCAGTCGCTGGCTAAAATATTGACATAAATTCACCAAAATTTGAACTTTAGATACTAAAACCATTTGGAGACGAATAAAATATTTATATCCATCAAATATATACCGTATATAATTCTACATACAAAATGACAGCGATCTTCATTTCTAAGTTATCATGGTATTATACTGTTTATTAGTGAGTCTTAAAACTAATACCAAATTTTGATATACTCGTACATACAAGATGTTTCAAAAGATATGTGACATATGTCGTGGGGACATTTCTCACGTAAAAATAAGATTAATTTTTCATATCCATATTGGTCCGATTCTGTTTTGTTTAGTGGGTCTCAAAATAATAATAATAATAGTAACATGTACGTAAATAATACTTTTTTCTCTAGATTAGTCTAGATAGATACTTTTAAGGCTGTGTCATTTTTAAAATCGATCTTTTTATTTTATGATACTTTTCTGTATAAATATTTTTTATTTATAATAATTTATTTTTCTTTTATTTCCAGCTGGCCAAGAAGAAGTGGTACGTTTACTTGTCCAACACGGTGCTTCTTTGAACGTCCAATCACAAAATGGATTCACTCCCCTCTATATGGCAGCTCAGGAAAATCACGATGGAGTTGTAAAATATCTTTTATCCAAAGGGGCTAACCAAACTCTAGCTACAGAGGTAATTATAGTTTTATTTAAATTTGGTTTATGGGGTAACCAATATTGTAGCAATATTAGTTCTCGGTCAAAAATATAGAGCAAATTAAAGAGTCCCAAAATCTATTGCTCAAAGATCTTCTATATTCTAATTTTAGATGTATATTCAGTAGGTCTGAGAATAAGTTGTTCTATTTTTTATACCCTTAAGTGATAAAGTTGTCCACCTCATTTTTTTATTTTTTGGGCAATTTTTTTTATGATGTGGCATTAAAAAATACATACAACCCTAAATTTTCACCCCTCTGCCATCAACCCCTATTTTTTAATAGCGCGATATTAGTAATTCAATAATTATCAACCTCGCGAATAAAAATGACTATTGTCCCATAAAAAAATATTTATATGGTAAAACAACGTTTGCCGGGTCTAGTTTCTTTCTATAAATTTTTATTCTAGCAAAAATTTCAAAAATCTAGCATTATGAATAATTATGATTTCTATTTATGTGTCAACTATTTAATAGATATATTTATGTGATCTCCTCTGAGTGTTCCTTTATTTTTTATTTTTCTGAAGAATGTAGATGTAGATTGTATGGGAGGGAGGAAGTTAATCACCGCATCTTAAAAATTTATTGTGTCCCCCTTTTTTTAGTTATAACTCATCATACTGTCTCAAAGTTTGGTCAAAAGCCAGTGCCCGAGACGATTTTACAGAAGTTCTTCATCTCCGATATCAGTCGTACAAAAGTTTATGGCACGAATGGTCGTTGTCTCGACGCACTTAGTGATGAGGTCTTTTGGTGTTTCCCCATTTTCCCCACAGAATCTGCATGCGCGGTTGGTTCTTAGCTTCAATCTACTGAGGTGCTGATTGAGGAGATAGTAGATAGTGTCATGTTAAAAACCCCGTGACAATCCAAAGATTGTTTAATTGTTAATAATCGCTCCTTTTCTAGCTCAATCGTTTGTTTTTTCATTACCCAGAGTAGGAGGACTATATTTTCATTACCTAATTTGTTCAGCTTCTCTAGGCATTCTTTGACCAACTTTGAATTGAAAGTTATTGAGTTAATCGCTTTTAATGCCGCTTGATTATGGAATAAGGCTCCGCGCGCACTGCATCGGATCGGACCGACCAGCAAAAGCGACTGCGACCATCGTACATATAGACGGCGCCGGCGTCCACTAAAACATGTCGGCCTGTAGAGGCCAGATTCCTACCTCTACCTATCTACGATCTACGATAGTCGAGTCACCGCCTTCGCCGGACTGGTACCGATTCAGTGCGTGTACACCTTAAGACGGCTATTTCTTGTTTCCGATAGTTTCTATCTATCTAAGATAAGTGGTGCTCATCTTTCGATAGCGTAGCTGTCTGCCTAGACCTAAAGGATGCTGGGATGGGTGGTTCGGAGTATTTAGTTTTCGGCCCAAATATTCCTATCCCTGTTCCTGCTTTGGTTTTGGATGGATCAGTATACCACGTTATGGTATTAACTGCTGAGCAAACGTTTCTCTCTTCCAAGTCTTTTTATTGCTCAATACTACAGTGAGGTGTTTCTCAAAGTTGTATATCCTTGGCTACATGTTACATCTGCATATTACTTAATTCATATCTTAACAATTAAATAATAGTATGTTTATGTTAACTTGAAATTATGTAATATAGAAGTTTGAAATTTAACTCAGTATTTTTTAGTACTTTTAAAAATGATGTGGGAACACCGGTTCCCATTAGAACACCGAAGTTAAGCGACGTAAGGCGATACTAGTGGATGGACGGGTGACCGGTTCGAAACTCTGTATCGTGCTGTTGTCCAAAAAAGGCAAAAGTGTAAAATCTATTGACACACACTGCTCATTCACGCCGGTTCGAGGCCGGATGAGATTGGATATCTCGTGAGTAAGAGTCGATTTAGACACTTGCCAAGTCGGTAGGCCATTGACCATGATATGGCCGAGGACCGCGGTTCGGATTCCGCGTAAACAAAGTCGGGGCCTACTTTGTACTCGGCCTCCAGATTAGCCCTGGCAGCAAAAAGGAGACGTTAACTGAAATCTTTACTTTATGCTATGCTATCTTTACTACTATGCTTATGCTTATACTATATTTTTTTGTGATTTAATAACATTGTTATGGTTATGCACAATTTTTTCATATTATAGATAAGTCAAATATACTATATGTATAAATATTTAAAATCACATTATTATAATAAAAACTTAGCAAATAGTTTAAAACATGTCTATTAAATAAGAACTATTATGCTAACAGTAATAGTTACACGCCTTAGCTAAGAGGCAAGTCTTCGTCGTTCTCAACATACAGTTGCAATTTAAAATTTCAAAAAACAAATATTCATTTGGATATGGCGGTTTTATCTTAAGAATCGCTGTATTAGTACAATCATTATGAATTTGTTTTAAGGGATCATATTTATTTATTACACACTTTTATAAATCCTTACGACATTCCAAAACAGCGTTTAAAAGGTGTCTTTACATTAAGAATTAAGTATATTTATCAGTACACATTCATGTTTTCAATTTGAAATAAATTTAATACGTAATTTTGAGATAAACCTTCCACTACCGTAAAAATATTTTCCAATTAAAATCTATTTTTAACATTATTTGGTGAACTGAAGTTGGATCTGAATCATTCCAAGCAGATATAGTATTAGAGGTCGACAGATTTGTTCGCTGGTCAAGGCTGTAAAGCTATTTAATAAAATTGCATTCTGAGAAACAACAAATGTGTCGTAATGCTTATTTCAAATTTAAATAATTTCCACTTACCTGTGAACATGTTAAACATTTATTATGTATGTCTGAATTTTAATATTAGCAATAGTTTACGAACTATTAAAATGTCTGGTTATTTTAAGGGAAAACCATTTATGTACGAAAAAATTATTTTCATCCTACTTCAAAAATCGCTATCTCAGAAAATAAGTATTTAGCAAAATCACTTTTTGGGTTATACCGGGCGAGTCTCAAAAGTGGCTCACCCCTATAACTTTTTTATTTTTTTAGTTAAAAAAACGAGATGTGGTATGTGAGTATATAACATAAATTAGGATAGATCAATTGTTTTCGGTCACTTCCGGTTTCACCGGAAATGACTACAACTTTTGATTTTTAAATGACACCCCCGATATTTTTTAACTTTATTCGATAGAAAATCTCACTTTGAATAGAATGGCATATCATATGTCAACTTTTGTCATTTTCGCATATGGTTTATTTGAAATTATAACTTGCGGTTCGTAACGAAAATTTGACTCGAAATACCAAGTGTGTGGTATCAAATTATTCGTAAATAAATGTTTTTTCGAAATATGCTAATGAGCCACCCTCCTGCCATTTGAAAAATTGAGATATGATATATGATTAAAAATACGATTTGAGCATTTTCTAACTGGCCAGGACAAGACACTAAAAACATTAGACCGATCAAATTTATTTTTCCAAGGCTCCTTGATGAAGAAATAGTGTTTTTTACATAGCCATGGCATTCTAGATTGAATTTTAAAATACAATTTTTTATTAAGCGAGAATGTCAAAAGTTGACATGTGATATGTCATTCTATTCAGAATGTTATTTTCTATCCAATAAAGTAAAAAAATTCCGAGGGTGCCATTTAAAAATCAAAAGTTGTAGTCATTTCCGATAAAACAGGAAGTGACCAAAAACAATTGAATGCACTAATAGGTGCATAGTTCACATAGGGGTGAGCCACTGTTGAGACGCACCCGGTATAGGACTGTCCTTTGGAAGAGAGGACGGTTGGCATTGGCAACCCTATATCAAACATTAAATATTGTCTATACCGGGTGTGTCTCAAAAGTGGCTCACCCCTATAACTTTTTAATTTTTTAGATAAAAACGAGATTTGGTATGTTAGTATATGACACAAATTAGGATTGATTTACATATTCAATTGTTTTCGATAACTTTCTGTTTCACCGGATATGGTTTATTTGAACTTATAACATGTTGACATATGATATGTCATTTTATCCAATAAATTAAAAATATACGGAAGGTGCCATTTAAAAATCAAAAGTTGTAGTCATTTCCGGTGAAACAGGAAATGACCAAAAACAATTGAATACGTCAATCAATATTAATTTATGTCATATACTAATATAACCAAATCTCGTTTTTTTATCTGAAAAAATAAAAAAGTTATAGGGGATGAGCCACTTTTGAGACGCACCCGGTATTGACTATATATTTTTATACCACAAATTAATAATAGGATAGCTTTTAATTACTATCCTTCATAGATTATTACGTAAAATAATAATTGTTCTAGGATGGGTTCACTCCTTTGGCCGTCGCAATGCAACAAGGTCACGATCGAGTCGTAGCGGTACTTCTAGAGAACGACACCAGGGGAAAGGTACGTCTTCCAGCTTTGCACATTGCCGCCAAGAAGGATGACGTCAAAGCGGCAGGTTTGCTGTTGCAAAACGAGCACAATCCTGACGTGACGTCGAAGAGTGGGTTCACTCCTTTACACATCGCCGCCCATTATGGTAACGATAAGGTGGCATCATTGCTCTACGATAAGGTAAAGTCAATATCTGTATTTCAGTAAGGGGTTTAATTATTAGAAAAATAAGCTGGAATATCGCCATTGAAAAAGAAAATCTAAAGAATAAAAAAATTACAGCCGAGAGGAAATTACCGCCGACAGGAATTTCGCACCTTTAAACTAGTGATGGGAAAAACCAATTAATTTCAATAATCGAGTACTCCAGTTTCAAGCGATTGCAATAACCGAGTGATCGCTCGAGCGAAATATCACTCGTATTTAAAAATACGGTTTTTCGTCCGTCGCTTGTTGTAATAAGGTTGTAAGTACTCGTAACGCCAAGCAGTAAGTTGTGTGCGCAGGGCACATATTCTTTCGGGGACGAATGGCAAGTAGCAAGCGACGAACGTTTCTTGTCAGTCCGTGCCGATTCATTGCGCGTTCTCCTTAAGGGGATCGCAATTTTCTAAAAACATGGCCGGTTTCATTCATTAAATATTCAGAAGTGTACGGCGTTTTATGAAAATATATCAGAAATATTTATAACATTTTCTAGTTAACTTTATAATTTTATTTTACTTTAAATGTACCTACATTTTGTTTACATACATTTGATTTGCCAAATATATTATTATTTGTTAAAACACTGTGTACTGTTTACAAAAAGCACGAATATCAAGTTAAAGGTATAAAACCCAATACAATAACACCGCCACTAGATTTTTCTATACTAGTGAGTACTATTTACAAAAGTACTTTTTTTGGACGTGGTTTCTTTTTTTTTGTTAAAGTTACTTGGACCAAGTGAACTGGGATGCTGCCATATAACTGTACTTTTAATAATGCTGCGCGCGTCTCACTTGCACGCTGGTTTTATAGTATTGACTGTTAACCATGGTTTTTGACAAAAACTAATGAATTAACATACTCCAAATAACCACGCTAACCAACCTGATTGGTCAAGCTTAATAGTTGCCTGCTAGGGCTAGACACTTCTCACATTTGCCATCCAAAAAACCGGCCGGCGTGGCGCCAGCGTCAAGTCAACACTTTAAACATACACATATTGATATCAACTAGACCTACATCGAAGTAAGGAATACTTCAGTATCGAGTTTCGAGTCCTCGGTTCGTGCATTTCCAGGGATTACGATTACTGCCAGCGCAAAAGTAACGAATTAGCTTAGTAACGAGTAACGAGTCAAGTGAAAGGTATAAAATCCAATACAATAACACCGCCACTAGATTTTTCTATACTAGTGAGTACTATTTACAAAAGTGCTTTTTTTGGACGTGGTTTATTTTTTTTTTTGCTAAAGTTACTTGGACCAAGTGTACTTGGATGCTGCCATATAATTGTACTTTTAATAATGCTGCGCGCGTCTCACTTGCACGCTGGTTTTATAGTATTGACTGTTAACCATGGAAATGGTACGGAAACAGAACGGATAATGTCCATTATCCTATTCATTTACATGATATAATATGTTACGTAAATAAAAAGGAAACGGAAAGCAGCGGATACGGAAGGTATAATGAGAATCAACCTTAACTTGGATGCTATGAAGCCGTCCAAATCGACTTTGAGAAAACAGTTGATACCATACAAATAGCGTAAAAGTGAGACGCGCGCAACCCATATAAAGGTATATTTATATGGCAACATCCGATTGACTCGGTCACTTTGTATATTTTGAAGTACACTTTGACTCGGTCCAAGTACACAACCAGGCTTAAGTAAGTGCACCCCAAAGTATTGAACCACGCGCCGTCATTGTGAACATTAGTTTTAAGACAACCATAAACTATGACAAAAAATACATCATTGAATAAAGAAAATGTTACACACTGTAAAATCGATAATTATCTTGAATCTCCTGTAATAAAAAAGAAATGATAAAAAACGATGTTTCTTCTCTTGATCCAATCAACATTTCTATTCCAAAAAAAAACGTAGGTACGTGTTTATGCATATTAAAAATTAATTGTTACTCTACTTTCAGGGTGCCAACGTGAATTATACTGCCAAACATAACATCACACCTATTCATGTAGCGAGTAAATGGGGTAAAATCAACATGGTGACGCTTTTGGTAGCCAAAGGTGCGGATATTCAAGCCAAAACTCGAGACGGTTTAACTCCATTACATTGTGCAGCGAGAAGTGGTCACGATCAAGTGGTGGATATGTTATTAGAGAATGGTGCTCCAATACATGCTAAAACTAAGGTAAAGTATATCGTCTTTTTAATAGGGTAGGACTCTCTTGGTCTATTCTTTGGGTGTTTGGGTTGGGTTGTGATTTCAAATTATGATGATTTTGCTATTTTCTACAATCTTATTTAACTGTTTACTCGCAGCTAGAAATCTACAGACAGTTGACAATCTTTTATTGTTGTTCAATTTTCTACTAATATGTTTGTTTGATGAATTTGTCGAACAGGTAACAATGCCCAAATTTTCCAGAGTCTTGTTTCATTTAGGGGTTAGTCTTTTTTTTCGATTTATATATATATACTTTAACCTTCTGTAGCTACGAAACAAAGCAGAACCGGACCTAGGTTGATATAAAAAATAAGTCTTATTTTTACGTGAAAAGCCTCCCCACCAGAGACGGCACGTGATTTTTGATACACCCTGTATATTGGAACCGTTTTTTTTTGTCGTCTATAAGTTACAGATATCAACCACAATACAACTAAACAGTTTATTGTTGCAGTAAAACGTATTTACTTCAAACTGTTAATCAGTTGCTGGTGATTAATGATCATGCTGATGATTAATCATCTCCTTATAATTGAAATAGTGGTTAACAAAACATCCAGAATAATAAAACATGGGTGTACTTGTAATTTTTAATAATCTAATTTTGTTAATTTTAAACCTCGGTATTATTTTTTAATAGAATGGATTGGCTCCGTTACATATGGCAGCACAAGGAGAACACGTTGACGCAGCCCGCATTCTTCTGTACCATGGCGCACCTGTTGATGAAGTTACAGTTGACTATTTGACCGCCCTTCATGTAGCGGCCCACTGTGGTCACGTGAGGGTAGCCAAGTTATTACTTGAAAGGGGCGCCGATGTAAATGCTAGAGCTTTAAACGGCTTCACGCCTTTGCACATAGCCTGCAAGAAAAATAGGCTAAAGATGGTAGAATTGTTAATCAAACACGGCGCAAGTATCGGTGCTACGACCGAAAGTGGTTTGACGCCACTACACGTAGCGAGTTTTATGGGATGTATGAATATTGTGATATATTTACTTCAACATGACGCCAGCCCTGACATTCCGACTGTTAGGGGTGAAACACCACTGCACCTGGCCGCAAGAGCTAATCAAGTAAGACTTACTGTTTTTATAAAACAAAATACTAATTATATTCTATATTTAGACAGATATAATAAGAATTCTTCTTCGAAATGGCGCATCTGTAGATGCCCGAGCGCGAGAAGAACAAACTCCACTCCATGTAGCTTCTAGGTTGGGAAATGTAGACATTGTCATGTTGTTACTGCAACATGGTGCACAGCCTCAAGCTACCACAAAAGACTTATACACTCCTCTTCATATTGCTGCCAAAGAGGGACAAGAAGAGGTATGATTTATAATTTATCAAATAAACTTTTTGCAGTTTACCGTAATTTGTTTTTTATAGGTTGCATCGGTACTTTTAGACAATGGTGCTGATCTAACTGCCACTACCAAAAAAGGATTCACACCCTTGCATCTTGCTGCAAAATATGGCCATCTTAATGTTGCCAGACTTCTTTTACAAAGAGATGCTCCTGCTAATGCTCAAGGTAAAGCAGTTCATATCTTTATTTAGTTGTCAGTTTAATAGTGTTCTTTGAAAAGGTAAAAATGGAGTGTCACCACTTCACGTAGCAGCTCATTATGATCATCAACCTGTAGCACTATTACTGCTAGACAAAGGAGCATCTCCACATGCCGCAGCTAAAAATGGTCACACACCTTTACATATAGCAGCTAGAAAAAATCAGGTAAAATCTCATTGATGTCGAAAACTTTATGTTATATCAATAATAATTATTTATTAGATGGATATTGCAACAACATTGTTGGAATATGGAGCACAAGCAGACGCTGAATCTAAAGCCGGATTCACTCCTTTACATCTCAGCGCCCAAGAAGGTCACTCTGATATGTCTTCCTTGTTACTAGAACATCAAGCTAATCCAAATCACATTTCTAAGGTATTCCAGTTTTTATTTCATCAGAGTGTAGGGTTTTTAAACTATTTTTATTTAGAACGGACTTACACCTTTACATCTTTGTGCCCAAGAAGATCGTGTACCAGTTGCTCAACTCCTCCTCAGAGCGGGTGCTTTAAAAGATGCTCAAACGAAAAGTGGATACACGCCGTTGCATATTGCATGTCATCATGGTCACGTCAACATGGTATATCTATATCTATTCTTTTTAAACACATTAGTTATGTAAAATAATTATAGGTGAGGTTATTAGTTGAACAAGGAGCGGATGTTAATCCTGTCACAGGAGCGGGATATACACCGTTACATCAAGCAGCCCAACAAGGACATGTTTTAGTGATTAGTTTGCTGCTTAAAAATAAAGCTGATCCTAATGCTGTCACTCAGGTACTTAAATAATATGCAATAGACCCTATAAATCACAAACAAATATAAATGAACAAACCTTAGTGTACAAAAAGAATGTATCCAGTGTATACAAACCAGATGTAAACAGATAATTGCTAGGTTGCCACTAATTAAAAATCATAGTAGTATTTTATCAAATTACAAATCTTTTTCCCCACACTTTTTATTTAAACATTTACCGAATTTATCTACTGACAGATAATATTTATGTTTCTGTATCACTAATTTTACTCATACATAACTCAGAATTGAAAAATCATATACATCATTTTTTAACTTTCATTGTGACAACATCGCATTTGTTTATGAAAAAAAAAACCTTGGGCCTTTGAGTTTTTCTAGGTTTAGTGTTTAAATCTCATCTAACGTAGTTTTTTTTATGAAAAACCTATGCTAGGACATGTGAGAGTCTTTCTATCCTAGTAAGACAAAAATTTTATGTGGTGGAATGTTTAAAGTGCATGATTTGTAAAATTTACAACATACATGAGAACATGCACAGTGCACACCTTAGTATTTTGGACAGTAGAGGGCAGTAGCGTCGGAGATAATATATCTAAGACACATTTGTTATTATACAGATTGTTAACTGTTATAACGATTGCTAACAGTTACTTATAGGGGAATAGAATGGCAACACTGCCTATTGAGAACGCATGCACTTATAGGGTTTTCTGCCGACTCGTCCGGTCGCGTCGTCTATCGACGGGCGGGCCGAGGTTGCCATATTTCAACCATAAAGCTCTTGCCGCGAGTAATAAACAAATTAACAACCTGTATACTGTTCTATTATTTTTTTCTGTAGATATTTTATTTTATGATGTCATGTCATTTAACTTCTAGTAGTTATATATATATTTAGCACTTTCGGTTTATATGGAAATCAAAACTATCTTATCTTGAAAAGGGGATTATATTAACTCTGTGGTCAAACCAAACTGTTTAAATAAGCAAACGATTTGTTTACATTTTGCTCGCATCAAAACAATAGATAAAGGATCTATATGTTACGGTTAAAGTCTGATGTCCGGTTAATGTCGACATTCACACGTTAATGTTTGGGGTTAGGTTATGTTTTTAGTTGTTTTGTTGTGTGTTATTCTCGAGATTAACCGGGTAATGTCGATATCAAGCGGACCTCGGACCTTAACCGTAACATATATACTGAGATCAAATGAAAATTAATGTATATGGAATGGTTAAGTGTTAAATATTAACTTTAATATTTATTTATTAGAATGGGCAAACAGCTTTAGGAATATCAAATAAGTTGGGATATATTAGTGTCGTGGAAGAATTAAAAGTAGTTACTGAACTAACAATAAACACTACTACTACCATGAGCATTGAAGAAAAATATAAGGTTATGGCTCCAGAAGCAATGCAAGAAACCTTTATGTCTGACTCGGAAGATGAAGGAGGTTAGTAAAACATTAATTAATTTATAGAAAAGCTTCATGAAAGCTTTTTCACAACTTCACTTGCAAAAGAATGCTACTATGTGAATTCGCAATCTTAAATTTTGAATAAAAATTTACGGGGATTTTATTTGTGCTTTATAAATAGCCATGTTGATTTCTCGTGTGATAAGCTAGTAACAGTTTTGTCCTTTTTTAGTTTTATTTGTTTTGTTTTTCTGTTTGTGATTTCTGTTAATTCTAATTTGCAATAAGTTATTTTAATAATTGAGCAGAACTTTATTATTGCATGGACGGCATGATCATACTTTAAATTAATTTTTATTTCATTAACCATTATTTTATTTCTTTTTTTTTAACAGTATAATTTTATCTCTATGTAATTTTTATTTACAAATATTTACCTTATTATAATATTCTTTGAAATTGGGTTGAATTGTTTATATTTAATTTAGTTTTGATTCACAAAACTGGTGGTAGTTTATTTAATAATATTTTCAACTTATTTGGTTTTTGTTTTTGTGAACAGTAGCAATTTAATGATAATAGGAAGCTGAATTTATAGTAGATTTAAATGGGTGGGGTTATGTTATACATTTTGTAATATATGTAAAGTTTAAAAGTAAGCTAAGGGTGGTGGTTGGTATGTTGCATGCATCAGGCGGAGTGGATGAGCCGCCAGTGACATATGGCAGACCTGCGCATGCGCAACACGTGTATCTTCCTTACTACCAGGGACAAATGACATATATACGTAAGTCTTTTATTAAATGTCTTTAACTTCATACTGTAAACCGTTGTCTATTTAATTTTGAATGTTGGTACTTTAAAATTACATGTTTTGTATCAACAATGTTGATACAGCATAGGTAGTAGGTAGGAATAGAGAGGGGACAATCATGTATAACACTGCTTTCAAGTTTTTAGTATACATCTTTGCTGAAGTTAGCTTCTAAAGCTTGGTGTAATATTTACAGTAGATGTAGATTAAAATAAGATGTAGATAAATTTGTCGTATCCTAATTATTTCTGGCAAGTAGTAAATTAATGCAAGTATAAAATAATTATTTTAGTTAATTTTAAACGAATTTCATAATTGATTTGTTTGCTACTCGTGACATATACGGCCCTTGTCAATTTATTTCCGTGGTCTGTATTTTAATGCATACGACAGCGATAAATATATACGAGTTGACAAACAAAGAGACAAAATAAAAAGCGACATACAGTGTTGCCGGTTTATACGTGAAATATCACAATAAACGAAGATAATATACATATCTAAGCTATTTAATAATGTTCGAGAAATTGTTCAGAAATAGTGCTAGTAATCGTATTTTAAGGTGTTAAAGCTTTGTTCTAAAACTACGCAGTGCACAGTGTCACTGACGATACGCCATAAATCCAATAAAATTTGTATTAAATCCAAACAGCGGTCAATTATGACTTTAGATACTAAACTAATATAACTCTGATTGTTTTTTTTAGTTTCGCCAGCGACACAGCGTAGTTCTGAGACTGAAGCTTCATAAGACTATTACAGCTGTAGTAAAAATGGTAACTAATTCTGGATTAAAGATCCAACCCTAGATGAAACATTAGGCTTACTTTGGCGGTTTGCAATTTAATGCCAAATCCGGCAATACCACATCCAATTTTTTTCTCTTTTTAATTCATTTGATTTTTTATTAAGCTGTCTCCATCACTGTCTTACACGTTAAAATCCAGACCACGCTGCTACAGTGGCCAAATCTGTATAATTACTCCCTGGTGAGAAGTTGTTCCATTATTTTCCATGTTTTTATATGAGAACGATCGCACGCTGAACAAGTAACAATAGATGTCAAACAAAACTAATAAAAAAACAGATTGAATATAAAAATGTTATTTGAGTCCTTCCTTAATCACTCCGAAAATTTAATATCTAACAGAAATAATAAATTTTTGTGCAAAATCACCAAAAAATAAATCAATAATGTTGATAAACATTTTTCTAACTTCTATTTACATATTTTCACTTCATAGGAATAGTTGTAATGGCAAATTTAACAACATAATAAAACATTTTAACGATAACTATCGAGGAAAAGTCTTAAGTCAATATTTCCTATTTTATGAGATATATTTATAAATGATATAAACTGTTTTACAATATTTACTAAATGGCACATAATCTTGGAAGCTTAAATAGTTGTTTATTATTTACATGTCTGATTATGAAGTGAAATATTATTATCCGACATAAATAAATTTACCATAACACCTTCCCTGATACCGCATTTTTATATTTACGTAATTTCACATTTTATCAATCATTGTTACACTCCAAACCAAACAGTATCTTATCAGTTTACGCCTTTGAAGATTGACCTCTTAATAATCACTTGCAACGGAAATATCTTCGACGCCCAAAATAATTTTAAATTTTCTATAGTGTCTGTGAGTTCAGTGAAGGTATTTTCTTGTACATATTTTAATTTTTGTTAAACATTTTAATGCATTTATGTAATTTGTTTTTAATATTAATTGGTTGAATCAAATTTCAGTGCAATATATTGATATTTTTATTATTTAATATCATATAATAAAAGGAATGCTTCATAATATATTGAATCATATTACATACGTTTTGTTATCTTACAGTGTTTAGGATACTTGATAATTTAATTGTACTAGATAATGAGATAAATGAAGGATTGGCCAAATTATTAACTTAACCTGTTTTTTTTGCATATGTAGGTGACGATCCACTTCTTGGTGATCAAGCACAATACAAATATATGACGGTGGATGACATGAAATCTTTAGGGGACGATTCCAGAATGGACGTTACCCATGACGAAAAAAGCGAATATAACAGAAATTCTGTTGGTAAGTTTTTAAATAGTAAATAATATAATTATTTTCTTTAGTGGCCGGATTTACAATCGAAACTAAAATAACTAAATAAACTCGTTAGATATGTTTCTGGGCATCTGAAGTCGAGTTATATGAATATCGTATGTGGTCTATTTTTTTATAATAACAAAACGGGAATAATCTCGGTAATTTGAAAACTCAACTTTTTAACACATAACACGCAATAACTCAAGAACCAGTTTAGATATTGAAACTTTCTTTTCTTTTAATTTGAAGTTTTTTATTTTGATCTTTGACTAGATGTTTAAATACGAAAAATTTGATAGGCTTGTTTTTAAAAAAAAAACGTGTCCATCAACTTTTAGTGCATGACAATTTTCAGCAATCGTATAACTTTTTTGTTTGTAAAGATTTTTACATACGGTCTGCGAAGAAAATGTAGCAGAAACATTAATATTTTTGTTTTTAAAAGCCACAATCAATTATTTCAATTTCTGGGCATTTTAGTGTCGTTGTTTTCTAACATGCATTTAATAATTTACAAGCTATAAGGAAAATTGTGAAAAAAACTTTCCTTTTATTGAAAATTTAAGTCAAAATATTGCGAACGGCTACTCTTATATCGGAGGCGGTGGGAACAAGCTTTTGCTTCTGCACTTGGCTAAAAATATGACACCCACCTATACCTTACACTGCATACCAAAGGGCGCCACTTATTTCAAAAAGATGCTAATACTTACAAACTGAAATAAGAAAATTTGTACAAGTGTATTAATTGAATAGAAACTAAAATTAGTATAGCTATTAAATATTTTGAGAGACTGGATCAACCAATGAAACAATTCAAATACCCAAAAAAATAAGATTTATTTCTTGTTAGAAATTATTCGGTACCTATTCGGCACAACTTAAAACTTGTTTGAAATCAAATTATGTCTTTTCAGATATTACTCTCAAACAATTATAATATAAAAAGAATACTTTTAGAGACGGTCTTGATTTTATTCGAATATTGAATATCTAAATTTTAATTGACTTATTACGAAGATTCATGAACGTTTTTGTTTATACAGGGTGAGTTTCCTACGATGTTCTCTATGGGTATCTCGGAAACTACTGGAGATAGAGAGTCGGTTAAATGGGGAAAGAAATGCAGTTTTGTGGGGTCATAAATATGCGCCTTTCAGATTTTTAAAAAAGTTCATGGCTTACTAGATATTTTGAAAAAAACAAATTTCGGCTATTTTAAAAATTGTCCCTAATTCCATTATAAGCTATTTTAGACAAAAAGTTTTCAGATAAAAGTTATAGATAATCACATCCTTAATGAGACTGTGTTCTCCGTTTTTTTCTAAAGCCTGTCACTTTTGACATATGACACAAACATAGGTTTTTCTAAATGGAAACCATAGTTGGCCATGACTTCATAAAAGCGCCATTTTTTAAGCTTTTTAGTGATATAAGCTATAATATCTTTTCTTCGAAAAATTACTGAGTTATAGCCAATTCTTATCATTTTTAAACAATTTCACTTAGGTAGCCATGGAAACAAGTTCAATCGCCATTGCTCTCAGAAATGTGAAGCTGTCACATCCAAACTTTAAAAATTAAAATAAATAAAAATTGTAAATATGAATTTTTCAAGTGAAGAAAAGCGTGTAGATTATTGGTTCAACTTTTCTTGACCATACATTTTCGAGGATACGTTGACCGGTGAATGTTACGTTTTTTAGAGAACGGTTTTCAAGACATGTTAGAAAAGTTAAATTTAGTTATAGCCAATTCTTATCTTTCTTGACTAATTTCACTTAGATTGCATGGTATTCTTATTCTGTTATGATTTATAACTTATAAAAAGTCAGAATATATTACTAAACGGTTCTTTACAATTTACATTACACAAACTAAAACTTAAAAAATAATATCACTACATACACTTTAACTTATTCTAAAAAATGTTCAAAAATCCGCCATTGTTTTGAGTTGCATGTTTTTAAAACTGAATTACTACCTATTCTCACAGAAGGACCGGTCGACTTAATTAAACTTTTCTCGTACCGCCACTTCGTGTGTCTCTCTTAATTCATAAGTTCTTTTGTAAACCTTATTTTTAACTATACCACATAAAAAATTCTAAAATGGATAGCTCAGGTGATCGAGGAGGCCCATGCAATTAGTCCACCTCTTCCTATCCCTGCATTTCTATAATTATGATATAAATAATTTTTAACATTTCTTTCATTATGAGGGGTGGGGGGTGGTGTGTCATAATGAAAGTCATGTTGGAACCACTCTATTGATGCGCGAGTATCTACACGATTTCTTCATTTTAAAAATTCATATTTACAATTTTTGTTTATTTTAATTTACAAAGTTTGGATGTGGCAGCTTCACATTTCTGAGAGCAATGGCGATTGAACTTGTTTCCATGGCTAACTGAGTGAAATTGTTTAAAAATGATAAGAATTGGCTATAACTCAGTAATTTTTCGAAGAAAACATATTATAGCTTATATCGCCAAAAAGGTTAAAAAATGGCGCTTTTTATGAAGTCATGGCCAACTAAGGTTTCCATTTAAAAAAACCTATGTTTGTGTCGTATGTTAAAAGTGACAGGCTTTAGAAAAAAACGGAGGACACAGTTTCATTAAGGATGTGATTATCTATAACTTTTATCTGAAAACTTTTTGTCTAAAATAGCTTATAATGGAATTAGGGACAATTTTTAAAATAGCCGAAATTTGTTTTTTTCAAAATATCTAGTAAGCCACGAACTTTTTAAAAAATCTGAAAGGCGCATATTTATGACCCCACAAAACTGCAATTCTTTCCCCATTTAACCGACTCTCTATCTCCAGTAGTTTCCGAGATACCCATAGAGAACATCGTAGGAAACTCACCCTGTATATAGTTAAAGGGAAAAAGATTAAAATCTGTACCCAAGATTGCCCTTACAGGTCAAAGATCGTAATAATATAAAAGGTAGAACATAAATAGATGTTAAATCTGAATAATCAATCAATATAACATGATTATTTTAATAATCAAATACAAGTAAAATTTAAGCAATGCTGAAGGCAAATACTTAAAGTGTTAAAAAAATATAAAATATAACAGAACGCTAAATTTTATAAACTAAGGGTTAAAGTAATGCTGAAGGCAAGTACTTAACTGGTTAAATGTGAAATATTAAGAATGGTTAATTTCTTAACACACTAATGATTATTTAAAATCAAATTAATAAAAGTTTAGTTTACTATAAAAAAAATATACTGGCCTTGTATACCAAATTATACTAAAAAAAGGATCTTCTTAATGATAAAAAAAAACATCATAGCATCCAACTTCTTCTCAGAGGGGTGAAGGGCTGAAATCTAACCGAACAGGCTGCTACTGATTACCTCGGTGATTGAAAAACTCGAAGAAAAACTTGTGGAAAAACTTGGCACAAACTTCTAGAAAAATATGCAGAACAACTTGCAGAAAAACGTCTAGAAAAATGTCTAGAAATACTTGAAGAAAAATACGTGGAAAAATGCTGAGAAAAATACGTAGAAAACCCTAAAAAGAAATGCACGGTATTAGTTAACCTTACATTTTAAAAAACTCCAAAAATTTACGAAGGTATTAATTTACCTCATTTTGAAGACACACAATCAATAATTATTTAACATTTCTTCTCAAATAAGGGTTGGACACTTCTCATCAAAAAACTGGAATCTAAAAGAAAGGCATGTGAAGGTTTTTTCTACCGAATGGAATGTCAAAGAAAATCTTACCAAAACTATAGATCCATTAAAATCTCAACAATCAAACACGTAATAAAAATAAACAATAACACGTAAATAAATAACAAAATCACAATATTTTTCCCATATTGTGAAAAATATCGGCCAAATAAATTTAATTCTCAAAATGGCACGGTGACCTCGACAACGGCCAAATCCGAGGTGACGATTTTGACGTTTCCCGTCTTGTCGATACACCAGGGTACGATCCAAATACGTTTAAAATAAAGTATACGGAGGGTACCGCTTAAATTCCTGTCCCGATATTGAAGGATGGCTATAGAATTTCAATGCATTTCCTACATAAGTCTATCCTTGGTTTGTAGGAGGTTTGACTAAACAAGGATGAACCTATGTCTTGAAACCATTCGACTCGATTTTCTGTCCTCCTTCAATACTGGGACGTAAATCTCTCATTGCTCTTATGGGGAGGCCGTCGTATATTTTATTTAAACGTATTTGGTACGATCCAATATTTTCGATAGAGAACGTTCCGAAATTTAAGTGTTGTAGGAATGTAAAAAGAATATCGATACAATAATAAAATACCGTCTATAATAAAACAAAGTAGCATTTGGAAAATGAAAATGCTACAAAATTACAGCAATTTGTTAATAAATAAACAAATAAAGTATAATGAGACGCAAATAAATCGTGAAGCTGCAACTAAATCGTAATACATGCGAGCTACACTCTAGAATTCTAAGTACTGGATATAAATTTTATGTTTATGCGGTGTGACTGAAAGCTGGCATATCCCGTTCCACGTCTCTTGGCAATGTGCACAGTTTCTCGGTTTATTTCATACGTTTGGCAACGTTTTTACTCTTCTCTCTTTGTTCAGTACATTATAAATGTACACACAGAAAAAAAATGTGACGGGTACATACGTACTCTTCTTACATAAGGAAATCTCGACCCAAACACAAACCTTTCCAGCGGGGTATAAAACAAATGATTTTTTTTGGTATAGATTTACTTTTCTATGTAAAAAAGAGACTTATTAAAAAAAATCTATTCCCAGCTGCAGAGTATTTATTGGAAATTTGCAATATTATTGTTTTTATTAATTATGGTTATTGTTGAAGATAATTTTTCCTCACTTTTTTTAAAATTAAGACTTAATTCGTAAATTAAAAAATAGCATATGGTATTGTTTTTATTGTAGCTCCATCACAAGTCAGCAATGAGCTAATTATTCATTCGCACAATGTGAAAGAACTTTATTCACAACTGGACAATGTCGACATTAATAGACAGCCTGTTACTGCTGGGTAAGTTCAATATTTCTTTAATACATTTGAAGAGCTTTTTAAATTTGTATGTACGCTTTCTTTAGTTTACATAATAGTGTTATTTTTTGTTTTTAATAAGCAGATGGTTTATAAACGTATGTTAATTACACGTTTCATGTGTGGTTAATGAACTGGAGCTTATTTGTGTAGCAATGTGAAAAAGATAATCCAAGCGTTATTTAAAAATATTAATGTTAAAATTATCAAGACAGTTCCGGAATGTTATATATGTCCGCGATGTACCAAAAAGTTTGCAACAAATGGGTAAAAAATATTGAGTTATTGATAAAAAGTTTATTCGGCTTTATTTCAGTATACCAAATATTAAAAATTCATCTTGACACATTATGTGACTGTCATGGCAGCAAATTACAAAACCGTTTTTTACATTCTAATAATAATATTGTAATTTGCATTTTTTAAATTTTTTGCCCTGGCAATTAGTCACATCGTCATCAATATCATGAAGTGGCGTAACTCATTTTTTGATATTTTTTGGGAGAGCGGTTTAAAGCTTGTTACTACTTTTGTTTCAATACCAACCAAAATATATTGTAGTCACTGTGTTTATTTAACAAAAAAGAAACATAATGGCTTCAATATATTTTGGGTAGTATTGAAACAAAAGTGGTAAAAAACCGCTCTCTTGAAAAATATTAAAAATTGAGTTATGCCACTTCGTGATATTGACGACGACATGGTATATATAAAAATGTGTTCTTGTTTTTTAAATCATAGTAAAATAAAGAGTAGTCTTAATAATTTGCTGGTTTCGTTTAACGTTCAGTTAATAACTATTAATATAGTCTGTCCAACGAGTGGATCCGTATCAGTGCCATTTATGTATGTCATTTTAATTCACAGTAAATGGTATTTTCTGTAATTTTTTGAATAAAGATTTTCTCTCACTTAAGATTCATTATAATCTCACTCTAATTTTAATCCTGACACAATGTCTTTCCAGATTTATCCACTCTCTATAAAATCAAAAAATATATAAATATAAACAAGAAATAATAAAAAAAATAATCACAAAGGACATCTCGCGAATTTTAATCTCACAAAAATTTAAATTTGTCAAAGTCAAAAGTAAACAAAACAAATAAAAAGACTTTGCTATGACGTAGCTTCCATCTTTAAAGTATATATACAGAAATAGTATTTGACTCCTTCTTTTTATTTATTTAATGGACATGCTGAATTATTGACTGCAATTTTTTTTCGATAACTTAATATTTTTCACATTTACTACTCACATTTTGGCATACCCTGTATAATACTATATTTGCGAAATCTTAGTTATAATATGTTAGTAGCTATATAGTACTGTATAATAGTTATAGTATATAATAGAATAGATAGATATCTAGTAGGTTAAAGAATGTAATGTGATGAAACAAAAACAAAAAAAAAGCATTGATTTAAAATTGTACATTTCAGCCTTGCTCAAAACTGTCTTGATAGTAGACTTCTTAGTAACCATTGTTCAAAATTAATTTGCAGGCTAGTGCGCAAATTAACTGCTATTCGCTATTTCTGAAATCCGTTTGGGTTACAAGACTACCCAGTTACGTCTAAGGTTTCATATTCCAGTTACCCTTTTAGATGTTCAGTAGAATCTTAATAGTGAATCTTAGGAGTGATAGTTGCAAAATGTTTAGGTTTCTAACTGTAACTCCCATTTTATATATAAAATATTTTAGAAAATGTATAAAGTTAATATTGAAAAAAAATTGAATATGTCATTCGTAATTGGAAACGTTTCAGGCAACTTTATTGTATGTAATTATGACAAGATGAAATTTAGGCGTGTATAAGTTTAATATTACATGTAACAGTGTAGAAACATATTTTTTACACTTTTACTGCTATGGAAACTGTCAGAAAATATCCTAAGAAATTTGTCAATGTAAATAGAAATAATTGATTTATGCATTATTACTTAATTATTATTTAATTATATTATCTGATAAAGTAGGCTTAAGTGGAGATGATTAATGCTGCTATTGCTAAAATTCAGTGGAAAGAACGCACCATCTTATGAAAAAAAAATGGTGACTCGCTACTACAACAGAAACACAAAGAAAATAAAGTTGTTTTTTTGTGATCTAGCGGATCATGGAGACACACTATACGAAAAAAAAAACAGCGTCGGTGGTGGCTTTGAAATCAAGATAGCTGATAGATAAGATAGCTGTAATTTTAAATGTAAAATTGTGTAGTGAATGCACTCGATCGTGATTTCCAAGCCAACTTAACGCTATAGGATACGAATTATATCAAGAGGTTAGATATTGGACGTGAAATTTAATTTATGGCTCAATGCTTAATAATAACTTGCGGCCAAAATGATGGGTTTCTATGTGCGGTCCATTCTGAGTTAAAATACAAATACACAACAATGTCAACGACATTAATGTTCTTTCTAAAAAAAACATAATTTTCAATATAGGTATGTGAAATCAGAAAATTGTTTATTCGGTTTTAAAAAAAACGACATTATTATCTGGATAAATTTAAAATCTATTTATTGGACTATTAAAATCAGTTCTGATTTTATAAATGTAATTAATTGATAATACAGTTTTTGATATAGATAAAATCTCAATTAAACTAAAATTGTCATCTGTTATTACCCTGTTATTACAAGGTGTGTTAGAAATAATAACTATACTAGGTAACGATAGAATTTTAGACATTTACTTAGTATTCAAATATCTGTCTTCAACGACAAAAAAATTGACCACGCTTGCTTCAAATGAGTGACTAAATGAACTTAAGTCTGTCTAAAACCTTTTTTACTTTAATTTAATTTACATTGAGGTATCACATGAAAAGAATTTTAGCCAAAAACGCGTTTTTGGCTTAAACTGTTTCGCTCTTTCTGTGTCCGTCCACTCTTAGTCATAATATGCCTGAAACGTTTCAACTAACGATAAATGTACACCACCAATAATCTCCGGTATGTATGTGTTCAAAGCTTGTACGGCTCCGACAGTGAGTGGGTGCGGCTAGAAAGATCCCTGTTGCACTTAGGTCCCAAGCCCAAAGTCCCAGGCACTGGCCTGTGCAGAGAAAGGTATTTGCAAGGTTTTAATCCCGAACGTAACCGACGACGGTCACGTCGACGTAACGCACTGAATGCTGCACTTAATTTTTAATTCAATATATCACTAACTTACTTGCGTTGTATGACCCGAATTCATGTTTTACCTATCACGGATGAATAAATACAGGGCTGTTTAACTTCTTAAAAAATGCCATAACCAATACCTCCTAAAATGTTATAACCACTGCTTCCCGTCATTCGAAGAGTCAAAAGAGAAACCGAACTAAATTTTGAAGAAATATAAACGCTTCCTTTTTTGACTTTTGAAGAGTATGTAATATCCACCAGTTATGACGTCACACGGGTCAGCATATGCATTTGTATTTAAGGAGGTATTGCTATAATATGAAAAGGTTTAGAGTTCAAAGCAATAAATAAAAAATATAGTATCATTTAGTGAGATTAAGATACTATTTAGAAGACACAAATTAATTAACAAAGTGCCGTATAATCCAAAAAAACGACGTCGAAGACGGCTAGCGAATGACAATCGATGACATAAAACTTGTCAAAATTAACACTAATTATTGAAAGATTAAGAAAAGATAGAACGTTCCCAAACACACAAATCTATTTTCAAAAAAATATTTTTTCTTGAAAAAATTTTAAACGACACATTTCCATTTTAATATAATTTTAAAGATTTTTGAATTCTTAAGAATATTATCGGGTTCATACACTTGTAAATTATGTACAAAATATTGGTGTGAGTAGTAGTCTTTGTGTATATTAATTTGCCTGGTTGATTTTAACATGCAGTTTAAGAGTGCCATTAAACTAGGGTAATTTTTAACACTATAATAATTTGACTGATTACATTTTAAACACAATGGGTTTTTGTGATTTTTACCACTGTATATATGCCACTAAACCATATTAATTTGATATTTGTGTCCTTTATCTACAGTGTTCCAAGTTGGAAAAAGTAAGTGTTGTTTAAATTCCAATATATAACTTCTGTGTCTAATATATTTGTAGATAGTTTCATTAACTGTGTCAATATAGGTCCATATATGTATCTGTACAAAGTCATAACTGCCTTGATATTTTAATATCTCATGTTCACACAGTATTCCTCACGATTTTAAATCTGTTGTACGATTTTTTCAAACCACATGTTTCAAGTTTTAACAGGTCAATATGTCATTTCACCTATGCAATTGTCATTTAATTATTTATTTGTGTTCTAATTTATACACGGTATTGATAAAAATGATTTATACAGAGTGTTTCATTTGTGTAATTATTATTGTACGCCAGCAGAGAGTGATAAAATAACGTAAAATTTTCACAAAGTAAAGTAAAAGTAAAAGTTTGTTCTTATAAACATTATACAGTAATTTCATGTATATTTTGTTACAAAACAACAGCCTTTCACAAACTTATATTTTTTAACAAGTCAATACTATTTTGAGAACTTTATTTAAAATAATTATTTTAATGCATGTGTAACAATCTGTGACCTTTCCACATATTTTAGAGACACTCTGTATACTTTATTAATATCAATCAGTTTGATGCACGTATAGTCAAAAACTTAAAACCTAAAATCATTGTTTTTCATAAAATATATAAAATAGTTTTTATAAAGTAATATATTTTTATTATTTTGACTATACATTGTTCTCCATTTGTCCTGTATTTAAGCTATGTATTTATTAAAAATTCTTTTTCCTTTAGCTTTCTGGTATCATTTTTGGTGGACGCCCGTGGTGGAGCCATGCGAGGATGTCGGCATTCAGGAGTAAGAGTTATTGTTCCCCCTAGATGTGCGCACGCACCCACTAGGGTAACCTGTCGTTACGTAAGAGCTCACAGGGCACCGCATTCTCCACCTTTGATGGAGGGAGAGGCACTGGCGAGTAGATTATTGGAGTTAGCACCTGTGGGAGCCAAATTTTTGGGGTGAGTATTTACAGTTTTTATAAAATGCAAGTAAAACTACTCTAGAAAACCATATAAACTACAGATGGAGATGTAGAATGTAGAATGTTTAGGAGAGGTGGTAATCACCGCGACCTTATAGATCTATTGTTATAACGAGTTATAACTCATCATACAGTCTCAGGGCTTTAACAAAAGCCAGTATCAGAGACAACTCCACAGAGTGCAGCTCCCCATACTCGACGTCAGCCGTACCAAAGTTCATGGCACGAATGGTCGTCGTCTCGGCGCACTCAGTGCTAAGATGTTCTGGTGTTTCCCCATTTTCCCCACAGAATCTGCATTCGCCGTTGTTTCTCAGCTTCAGCCTACTGAGGTGTTCGTTGAGGAGACAGTGTCCTGTTAGAAACCCCGTGGACAATCCGAAGATTGTTTTTACTTAAATCAAGGAAAACCATTGATTTTTCTCGGTCGTAAGTTCTGAGGAACTTTTTCGAGTGTCTTTAGACCATTGAAGGACACCCATTCCAAGTTACGGATAGAGTCTTCCAGATTCTTCAGTTCCGCTTTCGGTTGGTTCCCGTTTGGTAAACAGAACGGTTCTGGTCCAGTCTGGAGTGTTCGCGCCTTTCCTAGCTAGACATTTACTTTTTCATTGCCTTCTATCCCTTGGTGAGCAGGCACCCAGAGTAGGAGGGCTTTATTTTCTTTGCCTAACTTGTTGAGCTTCTCTAGGCATTCTTTGACCAACTTCGAATTGATCGCGTTAAGTGCTGCTTGACTATCGGATAGGATGGCAATTTCCTGTTTTCGATAGTTCCTATCTAAGATAAATTGTACGCATCAAATATGGAGATACTTTTTTGAAGTTTCATTATAAGTTTTACAATTCTGGAACTTCAATTGCACAATATATTTTCACTTTTATACAATACTTTGCATAAAACCAATTATATAACAAGAACTAATCTAAAGTAAATATAGAAACAGGTATCAGTCTCGCACAAAATTCAATTTGTCAAGAAAAAAATCAATTTAGATTAACATACATATACATATATATATATATATGGTACATATATATATATATATATATATATATATATATATATATATATATATATATATATATATATATATATATATATATATATATATATATATATATATATATATATATATATATATATTATATATATATATATATTTTTTTTTATTTTTTATTCAGCTTAGCATGAGCTTCTTGCAAATATATAATACTCTATATTTATTTTCACTATTAACCTCAACATTTCAAATTTTTCTTAAAATATCCACTTAGTAGATAGTAGGCCGCGCCGAGTAACAAAGTAAACGGTTGTCATGGTGATCGGATCAGTTGCCATTTGCTTATGTTTGTTAGACTCAATATAACATTCTAACATATTATATTTCTCAAAATTTTCAAATTTACTAATTTGTATTATTTAAAATACATACACTTCAATCTGTTAAAATGAAATGTCCCGCATCCATCAAAGGCATGTTCCGATCACCATGACAACCGTTTACTTTGTTACTCGGCGTGGCCTACTATCTGCTAAGTGGATATTTAAGAAAAAATTGAAATGTTGAGGTTAATAGTGAAAATAAATATAGAGTGTTATATATTTTCGAGAAGCCCATGCCAAGCTGAATAAGAAAATTTAAAAATATACAGGGGCTTCTATTTAAAAAAAACATAAGTATAGTTTTAGCAATTAAATAATAAAAACACAGAACCTTTCCGATAAACTACAATTCAACACATTTAATAAACACAGACAGCATTGAAACGAGCGTGCTGAAGTGTCTCATCACACTGGCGCGACCGACAGCGGTCCGTGCTTATCTTCCCAGAAGTAAATCAATTTTGTGTATATATATATATATATATATATATATATATATATATATATATATATATATATATATATATATATATATATAAAAAGGAGAAAAAAGATTAAACGGCTCAGCCCTCAACAACTCGTAACCGTATACACCAGTGCAGACACGCACACCCACACACTCACACAACCACACCTACACTAGTGCACACTGATGTAACTGCCTTCAGGCTTCATCAGTACGGTAAGGATTCAGGAAGCGAAGAAACAGATCCCAAATCACAAAAATCCAGGATTGTATTGCTTCCTGGATTTTTGTGATATATATATATATATATATATATATATATATATATATATATATATATATATATATATATATATATATATATATATATATATATATACATATATATATACATATATATATATATATATATATATATATATATATATATATTAAAATGATTGCTATATATACATATTCAACTTTAAAGTGTAGAATATAAAAATAGTACCGTATGACTATTTTTATGTTCTAAAAACGGCGTCAGCGATGACTATGAAATGATGATCGCTGTCATGTATATGGGAAATGCCATCGATCGTCATTCCCCTGTCAACTGGACGTTGTTTTTTTTATCATACGGTATTGACTCATTCGTAGTTTGTTTATTCAATGGATAAATACCGTATGATCGAAAAAAACGGCGCCAAAGACGGCTGGTGAATGACAATCGATGACAATTTTGGCGAGGTCAGTCTTCTAGACGTCATTTACTAAAAATTGACATAAAACTTGTCAAAAATTAACTTAACTAAATTGTTAAAATTATTATAGAAAGGTTAAAAAAGGTAGAACGTTTCCAGACACAAATCTATTTCCAAAAAATAGTTATTTTCTTGAACTTTAAACTACACCATTTAAAAATCTCAAATACTCTCTATGTGAAAACGGCGAATCTATTGAGCTCGGTGTGTCAAAATTTTGAAAAAACGAAACATACATTTCGTAGCGTGTCACACATCACAAAAATAAAAACTAAAAAAGTAGATTTTTTTATATTGCTAATTATTTGTTTAATGCCATTTAGAATACAAAAAAATTGGCGCCGGGAGGCACATATAGCCGCCCATACTAAAATATGTTAATAAAAAGTTGGTAGGTAGTTCTTTTAGTTTCAAAGTAAAGGAATTTTTCCAATTTTTTTTATCTCAAAATCTGCGACTTTGACTGATTTTGATGTTATTACAAATTTTGTTGCAAATATTATTCCTAATCTTAAATTAAAAACTGCGTATCGCTAACTACTGTAATTTTGGATTTTTTTTAATTTTTAACCCCCTCCCATACCCCCTTACCATCCCCCACCCACACCAAAAACTAATAGCCAGATTCTCGGGTGCCACAGTATTTTTGTGCCAAATTTGGTTAAAATCGGTTTAGCGGTTATTGAGTTATCGTATTACAGACGGACAGACAGACAGACACCATGAAAATATTTTGTATTTAGGTCATATAGGTCAAATAACTCATTTTGAGTGAAATTAAAAAAAAACTTTTTTTTGTCGATAACATAATTTTGTTAAACCACTGATTTACATTTATAGACCTGTTCTACATATTTAATTGACAGTTTACATACAAAATCAAATAATATAGTAGCGTATGATGGAAAAAAAGGCGTCTAGTTGGCTTGGAACTGAATATCGATGACATTCTCCGTATACACGTTACATAAAAAATTACAGCGATCTTCATTTCAGAGCCATCGCTGACGCCGTTTTTTTTTTGATATTGTATATATATACGTTTGGTTTTAGAATTAAATTATTATTAACGTAACTCTGGCTGTTATGAAAGACAAATATTTGATTATGAAATTTTTGTCTTGAAGATATGTGTCACCCAAAAAGGGGCTCCGTGTCATAAGTTCGCCGTCACTAGTTTATAACCTTCTTAAAGCCAACTGGCAGTAAACGCCATTAAAAATATAGAAGAGTCCGTGCCAAGGACGTCTAGGGGTTGACCTCGCCAAAATTATCATAGATTGTCATTCCTCTATCTAATGACTATATTTTCATTTATTTTAATAATTCGGTTATTAATTTAGAAGAAAATATACATGTCATGGTAATTATTTGGAACAGTATTAATTTTAACCATACTTGTCATATACAGGGTGTTCCAATATTCTGTGGACATAAACTACTACGTATTTTTGAAATTTCAAAATAAGTTAATTGAAAACAACTTACCTCTATACAAAAGTACTTTTTTTGCCCGTTAGAGAGCATCAAATTTAAAAAATAAACACAAATATTTTAAGAACAGATATTCCGATTTGAATGAGATTTGATTTCGTTTGGCCCATGCAATATTGGGACAATCTGTATTTTGTCTAGCATTTTTTGAAAATGTTTTTGATTTGACAATAATCTTTATTGTGTTGGATTTTTTTAGACCAGTTATTATCGAGGTGCCTCATTTTGCCTCACTTCGTGGGAAGCAACGGGAAATTATCGTTTTGAGATCAGAGAACGGTGAAACTTGGAAAGAGCATACATTGGAAGCCAACGAAGAGGCAATTCAAGACGTTTTAAATCACAGTTTTGACGGAGAAGGTATAATTATCTATAATATTTTGGGTGGCTTTTTATTTCTACCTATATAATTTTATATAGAACTAAGTCAGTTGGAGGATCTCCATACAAACCGTATTACCAGGATATTAACGAATGATTTCCCCCACTATTTTGCTGTCATTTCGAGAATTAGGCAAGAAATATACGGAATTGGTCCTGAAGGTGGTACTGTTTCTAGTTCTGCCGTTCCATTGGTACAAGCTGTATTTCCTCCAAATGCTTTAACAAAGAAGATTCGAGTGGGATTACAAGTAAGTAATCTGTGTGTCATAAGTTAAATAAGTTTGTACTCCGTTTAGTGTCATAATTTAGAGAACGTTTCCATATTTGCAAACCTTTCCTCGTCACAAAATTTATCCTCTATAGTATTTATAATACATCATATTATGTAGACATTTTGCAAGCGACATATTACAGGAACATATTACCCGGAAAATTACAGCCCATTATTTGTCACCGAAATAAGAAGTTAGGGAATTTCTCAGTAGACTATTCATCATCATCATCATCACGCAGCCCCCTTTCACGTCCATAGTTGAACATAGGCCTCCTCCAAACGTCTCCAGTTCTCGCGGTTTTTAGCTGTTGCTACTGGTTGCAGTAGACTATTGGTTTGATGCATTTCAGTTGATTTCAACAAATTCCGACCGCTGCGCTTCAATGGCAGCAATCAGAAATTATTAGTATGTATTTGACGCCGCCGCGCCGTCATGTTGATCGCATTAAAATAATATTGCAATCGTGGTTTTGTTGGAAAGAGAAAAATGCGACGGTGTGCTGTTGCGGCGCTGTCACATTTATCGAAGATACAGGTGCGGTTTTTCCTGTCTAATGGTGATGCGTAAAGGTGAACGCGCACTGAATCGGCACCAGACCGGCCAGAAACGGCGACGGCGGTGACTCGACTATCGTAGATATGTAGAGGTAGGAGTTTGGTCTCTACAGGCCGAAATGTTTTAGTCGTCGCCGGCGCCGTCTATATCTACGATGGTTGCAGTCGCCTTTGCTGGCCGGTCCGATCTGATTCAGTGCGCGTTGAGCTTAATAATGACCAAAAAACGCTTATTTATAGAAGTTTTTTTTGGAAATATAACTAGATAAAGTCATTCTAAATCGAATTATAAGAATATCGTTAAGCTGCCCGTTTTTTATATACAAAAAACTTCAATAATCGCGGTAATTTGAAAATTCAACATTTTAACACATAACAGACTATAACCACAGCTTAAGTAAAAAACAGCTCGGACAGTGTAGCGTGCCGCTTTGATCTTTTTACGCTCGGATTTGCGATTCGAAAGAGGGAGAACACTAGAACGGCGAGCTCGCTCGCCACAACCAATAGCCGCGTAAGCGGCAGTCAGCCCAGAGATGTATTAAAAAAATTTTTACACGTGACGTAAAAATTATTCGACTGGTGTTAGAACATAATTTAGATACACGTTTTTTAAATTGTTGACTTTAAATAAATATGCATTCTCAAAGAAAAACATTTAAAAAACAAATTAATTAATTTATTTCTAGAAATAACAGCAAAATGAAATAGGTAATTGATTACTTATAGTTATTTACGAATGTTTCCAAATTAGGAGCTTTCGGTTTTTGTTTGCTACATTTAAGTTCTTATTAATATTCTTTAAGGTATTAATAAATTAACTTTTGCGTATAATTTTAACAAAAAATACATTATAGGAAAATTTTGACAAGGATGGTTGAATTTAATTATCTGAAATTATTTAACGAATTTACATAATATATTTTCATTTAAGGAAAGTTCTTCAAAATTGTTCTGATAAATTGTATAAAAAAACTTTTTTAAAAACAAGTTTTTATTTAAATACACTAAAAAGAATAAAATAAACTTTTTCTTTAAAACTTTTATTATGAACTTATAACGTCATTACACAATTTTAATATTAATATATAAAAGCTTGCCGCGAGATTTGAGTGTACAGTTGCACTCATAAAAATCTGGTAGGACAACTTTATCTTGTAATTCCTGGTCTAGTGGTCTATCATAACACAAACTTTGAAAATGAGACAGGGTAGACACAGGTTTTAGTTAATTTACTTGTTAATCGATGTAGAGAAATCTCGCGACAAGCTTTTATATAATATTAAAATTGTGTAATGGCGTTATAAGTTCATAATAAAAGTTTTAAAGAAAAAGTTTATTTTATTCTTTTTAGTGTATTTAAATTTAAATAAAAGCTTGTTTTAAAAAAAGTTTTTTTTGTAAAATTTATTCTACTTTTTAGTTATGCTGGTTTCTCAGTGCCACACATTTAAACTCAATTTTTTTCTTAAATAACTTTCTATGGGCATCCTAATAATATGTATATCGATTTTCATTAAAAAAGGTGAACTTAAAACGATAGCTGTCAAATTTGACAGTTCAAATGTGAGACAAATAAAATGAAAACCGACTATGGGGTAGGGGGCATTCAATATATCGATTTTTATCAAAATCGGACAAATTTTAAATTTTTTTGACAGTTGTCAAGTTTGACAGCTCAAATTTTTTTTCTTTCATTTTCGCCCATGGTCGTCCTATATATCAATTTTTATCAAAATCGGACAACTTTGAAATTTTTTTGACAGCTGTCAAATTTGACAGCTTAAAATTTTTTTCTTTCATTTTAGTCCATGGCCATCCTATATATCAATTTTTATGAAAATCGATTGACTTTGAAATTTTGACATGTCATTAAACTGTCATTTTTTCAAGATGGCCGTCCATATATTTTTTTCATATGTATATACCCACAATATACCTAGGTATATATATATAATTTTAGCCCGATCCATTCATAAATAGAATTTTAAAAAATCAAAAACCTCAAAAATGCCGCCATTTTGACAGCTGTCAAAAATTCGGGTCATGCCTTGCAAAAAATGTATTGTCATCGGTTCTGAATCTATATGCCAATTTCAATCTCCTACAATAAAAGGAAGTGGTTCTAATTTAGCTTACAAGATTTGCCCCGCAAAAACATACATACATACATAGATAGTTACATACAAAGCTTATAAAAATAGCCTCCAATGAGGATACTAAATAAAAAAATGGTCACTTGGCATTCGCAAGCCTCCAAATAAGTGGTCTTTATCGTTTTGAAAAGCTCTAAAGTGTGAATACTTTTGAAATGAACATTAATTTTGAATTGAAAATTAAACAGACTATATTTTGAATTATTTCCATAATTATTTGTGTAACCAGCAGCCGCACATCCCGGAAAACCTTTTCCCATTCCAACAATAAAAATAAAATTGAAATAAAAGCACAAATACCTATGGTTAAATATAAGAAAAAATCGAATTAAAATCTTCCGTAATACGGCCCTACACGTCACCAGTGGAGGTTATGCATCGACTGAATGAGGCTGACTGTCGCTCGCTTAATTCAGTTAAGCATCGTCGGAGTGGGGCGTTTTAAATTCGAGCGTGGGAAAAATTGGCGAGTGTCCAAGCTATATTATTCTGTAAGCTGTGCTATAACTCGAGAGCCACACTAGATATTGAAAGTTCGGATCTTCGCTAAGATGTTTAAATGAGGTAAAGATGTATTGGCTTGTTTTGTTGCCATTCAAAAGATTTAGAAAAAACGAGTTCGTGACGTTCTCAAGCCCTATGTTATAGGGCTTGTTTCTCTCTACAATTTTCTGTCTCACAATGTACCGTTTGTGTCCAGGAAGAGTTCATAGTTTCATAGTTGTCGATTTTCGGAAGAAATCAGTACATGCATATTATTTCGTATATTTTTCATTTTATTGATTCTATGGAAAGCACTGTTCATTAAAATGTTGTATCCTATGTTATAGGGCTTGTTTCTCTCTGCAATTTCCTGTCTCACAATGTACCGTTTGTGTCCAGGAAGAGTTCATAGTTTCATAGTTGTCGATTTTCGGAAGAAATCAGTACATGCATATTATTTCGTATATTTTTCATTTTATTGATTCTATGGAAAGCACTGTTCATTAAAATGTTGTATCCTATGTTATAGGGCTTGTTTCTCTCTCTGCAATTTCCTGTCTCACAATGTACCGTTTGTGTCCAGGAAGAGTTCATAGTTTCATAGTTGTCGATTTTCGAAAGAAATCAGTACATGCATATTATTTCGTATATTTTTCATTTTATTGATTCTATGGAAAGCACTGTTCATTAAAATGTTGTATCCTATGTTATAGGGCTTGTTTCTCTCTACAATTTTCTGTCTCACAATGTACCGTTTGTGTCCAGGAAGAGTTCATAGTTTCATAGTTGTCTATTTTCGAAAGAAATCAGTACATGCATATTATTTCGTATATTTTTCATTTTATTGATTTTATGGAAAGCACTGTTCATTAAAATGTTGTATCCTATGTTATAGGGCTTGTTTCTCTCTACAATTTTCTGTCTCACAATGTACCGTTTGTGTCCAGGAAGAGTTCATAGTTTCATAGTTGTCGATTTTCGAAAGAAATCAGTACATGCATATGATTTCGTATATTTTTCATTTTATTGATTTTATGGAAAGCACTGTTCATTAAAATGTTGTATCCTATGTTATAGGGCTTGTTTCTCTCTACAATTTTCTGTCTCACAATGTACCGTTTGTGTCCAGGAAGAGTTCATAGTTTCATAGTTGTCGATTTTCGAAAGAAATCAGTACATGCATATGATTTCGTATATTTTTCATTTTATTGATTTTATGGAAAGCACTGTTCATTAAAATGTTGTATCCTATGTTATAGGGCTTGTTTCTCTCTACAATTTTCTGTCTCACAATGTACCGTTTGTGTCCAGGAAGAGTTCATAGTTTCATAGTTGTCGATTTTCGAAAGAAATCAGTACATGCATATTATTTCGTATATTTTTCATTTTATTGATTCTATGGAAAGCACTGTTCATTAAAATGTTGTATCCTATGTTATAGGGCTTGTTTCTCTCGACAATTTTCTATCTCACAATGTACCGTTTGTCCCCAGGAAGAGTTCATAGTTTCATAGTTGTCGATTTTCGAAAGAAATCAGTACATGCATATTATTTCGTATATTTTTCATTTTATTGATTCTATGGAAAGCACTGTTCATTAAAATGTTGTATCCTATGTTATAGGGCTTGTTTCTCTCTACAATTTTCTATCTCACAATTTACCGTTTGTGTCCAGGAAGAGTTCATAGTTTCATAGTTGTCGATTTTCGAAAGAAATCAGTACATGCATATTATTTCGTATATCTTTCATTTTATTGATTTTATGGAAAGCACTGTTCATTAAAATGTTGTATCCTATGTTATAGGGCTTGTTTCTCTCCACAATTTTCTGTCTCACAATGTACCGTTTGTGTCCAGGAAGAGTTCATAGTTTTATAGTTGTCTATTTTCGAAAGAAATCAGTACATGCATATGATTTCGTATATTTTTCATTTTATTGATTTTATGGAAAGCACTGTTCATTAAAATGTTGTATCCTATGTTATAGGGCTTGTTTCTCTCTACAATTTACCGTTGTAATTTCAAAAATAAAGTTAAAATTGTTTATATACATTTTTTAAAATACAATATATGTTATAACCTATTATAGATTAAAACTAATAAAGACTGTTTAAGATGTACAGGGTGATCCAGTAATAGTGGACATAATAGAGAAACAATAATATGTAAAACAAAGATATTTATTTGTAGAGGGCTTAACAGCTACACAAAATTGAAATTATTTTTTTTTCTTAAATTATACTAACGAGAAATAAAACGGCGTCAGAAATGGCCTGGAAATGAACATCGCTGTCTTTTTGTATGTGAAATTATATGGAGAATGTGATCGACCGTCATTTCGAAGTCAATTTTTTTTGATCATGTTATGTTATTTAATTTTTCAATCTATACTTCATAATAAAGTTATTAAAAAAGATTGTTCATTATGAATTTAAAGCCACAGCCATCTACTGCATTTCATCAAAAAAATAACGGTCAAAGACGGCTAGAGAATAATCGATGATAATCTTTGCGAGGTCAGTCTCTAGACGTCATTTACTAAAAATTGACATAAATAAAATTAACACTGATTATAGAAAGATTAAAAAAGGATAGAACGTTTACAGACACACAAATCCATTTCCAAAATAAAATATATTTTTTTTTTTTCGAATTTTTAACTGCACCATTTAATAATAATTTTTACTTAATATAAAAATAAATTGCAACCTTCTTAAGGCCAACGGGCAGTAAGCGCCATTAAAAAAGAAGAGTACAGGCCAAGTAATGACGTCTAGAGACTGACATCGCCAAAATTATCATCGATTGTCATTCCCAGCCATCTTTGACGTGTTTTTTTTCGATATTATGGTATAATAAATATGTTTAACCATTTTTTTCACAATCCTGTATTTAATTAAAAAAATATATTTTTTTTACAGAAATTTTATTTATACATATAAATTTTAAACCTATGCTTATATTCTAGGCTCAAGCAATTGAACCAGAGTTGGTTTCTAAGCTACTAGGCCATGGAGTGGCAGTTTCGCCTATCGTCACTGTAGAACCACGTCGTAGGAAATTCCATAAAGCTATAATGTTGAGCATGCCAGCTCCTAAAGCCCATTCACAGGGTATGATCAATCAGTACCAAGGAGCTTCCAGTACCACTTTGAGGCTATTGTGTTCCATTACAGGTTAGTAAGATATAATATTTATGGTCAAGCGTTTCTCGAAATGTTATTGCTTATATTATGTTAGAATGGAGTTTTGATGTTTCTTCTAGAGGTTTACAAGTTTTTAGGTATTTTCTCCTAATATAATTTAGATATTTTCTGTTTTTAAGGATTTTATATTGTCAAAACTCCATTATATCTTTAATAGGGAGATTTTGAACTTCTTGTGAATATTATGTGCGTGGTGGGCTGCCAACTAAAAATATTGAATTTTTTAATTCATGAAGAAAAATATATTTTTGTTCAGTTCTTTTTATTATTTATTATATCTTAATAAGTAGGGAGTATAAATAATTAATTAAACATTTATTTGTGTTGAAAATATATTAAACTATTTTGGACGGCATTAGGTTGTGCTTTCAATTGAATTATAAGTTGCATAATTTACCGTGTTAAAAAGTAATGCGGTACTAATGTATGCGTATTTTGACAACTTTGACAGTTAGAATAAAACAGAAGTTTAATAAGTTAATAAACCTCTTAAAATAAAACGATTTATTTTCAGAATAGCTACAAAAAAATATACACATGAAGAACATAAAAACACAACTTATAATAAAATTAAATTTTATGGTACTTTGTACAGGATGTCCCATTTTTGTTTGTTTTACAGGGTGTGATTACTTACTGTGCTACTTTTTTTATGAAACTAAAGACGGTACACACAGATTTGTCCTAGCTTTAGTTCCTGAAATACAAGGCGAATTTGAATTTATTGTATTTCTCGACTCCCCCATATCTCGGATATCTTATAATTTATAAAAAGATATGAAGACCGAGTTCCATAGAGTTTTCCAAGTAGAGTTCAAGAGGAAATGCCGTTATTAAAATTTATCATAAAAAAATATGAAAACTCTGACTTAAATCTTTTCTAAAAAGACTTAAATCTTTTAAAAGATTTAAACTTTTTTAATGACTTAATAAATAAGACTTAAGTCACCAATCATTATGAAAATGACTTAAGCTTAAGTAAACTTTCGAAATATGACTTAAACTCAAATGACCTAAGTCAAAAAAATGATTTAAATAAAAAAAAGACTTAAGTTTTCCGTGAGCTCGCAGCTCTATTGGCCGATCGGCTCCATAAAAACGTATTGTTTTCACTTGTGCGACTAAATAGTCGGGCGACTAAAAATTTTGCCGATATGAGTTAATCTGTCAGTTAAATGAATTATCTACTGGTTATACATTTATTTATTTTACCAAATTAATAATTATAAGAAAATATAATTTAGTTATAGGCTTGGTGCACTTCAATCGATTTTTAAAATTTCGCCAGCAGCGCTCGGTACGGCAGAAATCAGAACGTCCCGACTCTGTATTTCACACCGTCCCGTTTATGTTCATTACATTGAAATAATACTGAAATCGTGGCTGTCTTAATATTTAAATATTTTGGTTTTTACTAATGCAGTTATTTAAACTATAAAATTCTCAGGTACGAAGTTTTTGTGATGTAACGCTGTTTTCGAGTAGTAAAAATTAACAGATCCCGAACTGGGTGACGCGTTGTGTTGTGACATTTCAAATGATAATAAAATTACCGAAAAAATGTCAACACGAAAAGGATGGCGTAATTGCGTAGTTATTGTATGCAATAACCTTATACCTTTCAGGTCTTAATACCTTTCAAATAATATTATAACACATTTTTGATATTGACTTCAGTAATGCAAAGTATGGATAACTGCCCCAGTCATTTAAATAGTTCAAAATCTCTAAATCAGTGTTTTTGTTATGATTGTAACTATTTCTAGTATTTATTAGTTATCCCACAAGTTATAATATTTATCCCTTCACGCATACCCAAGCATTTATATGTATCATAGTTTTAGAATGAGTCTATTAGATAATCTCTTTTCTCAATATTCTAATATTTACGTTCGTTATTTATATTAAATCATTTTCTAATATTTTATTTTAGACGTATCTAACAATGTTTTTTTATTCACTAACTAAAAATTAATATGATTATTATTTGTTGAAGGAGTTGAATATAAAGTAACTAAATATTTATTACAAACGAAAAGTAACATTACAACTTATTTTAGACATTAATATAACCTACATTAACAACTTATTTTAGACGTTTATTTTCGAAATAAAATACAGTTTTGACAAATACTATTAAGTCTGTCCAACCAGGCAGTGAAGATTTCGACAGACGACATCCAAAATTGACAGAAAATATAATTTACCTGTGAATTCAAATGACAGATAACAGCTGTCACTGTCATTTATTTTCTCAGTGAACAGACTTAACTTAATTACATAGTTTTGGATCTATTATCATTTTATACATATTTATCTCATTTATTTATTGCATGTTAATGTTAGATGTAATAAATGTATCTTTATATTGTTGCAAAAAACTGGTCTTTTACCATTCATGCTTCTAAATAGGAACTAAATCAGGTAAAATTTAGTTCCCATTATATCCGATATGTATTTGTTCGTATATATTTTATTTATCTTATTAGAAAAGGCAAGTTTTATTTTATATCTGTAGCCTTTTTCTATTTTATGTGCATGTGCATGTGAAGGAATTTGCAAAAGAAATTAATATACTGAAAAAATATCTAGTAATACCTTTGGTAATGCCAATGACTAAAGAATATAAGGACATGTGACGCCCCTATACGGGCTGCAGCAGAATTTATGACCTTAGAGACCTTTCTTTTGGTGGCAAACAATGAGTCATCATTTGGTCATCAGCGACAATTTTAGCGATTTTTAATAGTTTGTGTGTAGTAAACTTTGTATAAACTTATTACAATGATTAGTTGTTCAGCTTTCAAGTGTAAAAGCAGCAGCGATAAGAAAGAGCCAGGAGTTACGTTTCATAGGCAAATAAACAGTCCACTCAAACTTTTTAGCGTTTTCTTATTGAATTCGATAATTATTCTTCAATTTCAATTAACATCTATATGTACTTGATATGTGCTATACGTCGATACTAGTTTTGTACTTTTTGTTAACATTTTAATACGTTTTTTTCGTAATTAATTAGGATGATACACCATAGGCGTAGTCAAAACAATTATCAAAAAATATAAATATTGCTTCAAACAACTAGGTTAAGAAAAATATGTGCTACGGCACTGTTTGGTGACATCGTCACAATTTGCTCTCGGGTGTTATTTGTCCTTGGATTCTTTAGTCATTGGGTAATACTGTATCTAATTTAGTTTTCTTATAAATTATACCTCCATAGTTTATATTATAATAACTTTATCTGGTAAGTATTATCTTATGTATATTTGTAAATTTATAGGCGACTTTATTTTAACACACACTACAAATAAGTGTAAGGTTAGGTTAGGTTAGGTAAGCTCGAGCGATCGCTCGATTATTGAAATCGCTTGAAACTCGAGTACTCGATTATTGAAATTAATCGGTTTTCCCATCCCTAACATTTTGATATATAAAATTTTGATGATAAAATTCTTCATTTGGTTAAGCGATTCAGGATGTTTCAAACTTTCGCAAAAATTTTGTTTTTCCTAGTATAATAGACCAATGAGACTTCTATTCTAAAATTTGGAAAGAATCTAAAAAATAACGCTACAATTTACTTAAAAAATCTTCAAAATCGGCCCACTAGAACAAAATATATTGAACTTTAAAATACATACATGAACATTTTAAGGTGCCCATTATTTTGTGCCAGTCAGTGATAAAATGATTAGTTTTTGACTACTACATTTAGCTTAACATTGTACGACATATTTTCGATAAAATTATGGTTAATATTATAATGCTAGTAATGCATTAAATATGCTTAGTCAAATAACATATAAATAAGAAAATTATAATCATCACAAGTAAACTACTGAAATTGTAAAGTTTGTTCAACGAGAGAAGGGTCGATTTTGACAGATCGCGTGTAGAATGTAGAATGAGTGGGAGGGGGGTTAATCACTGCGACCTTACAGATCTATTGTGTCCGCCTTTCTTTAGTTATAACTCATCATACAGTCCCCCGGCTTTGACAAAAGCCACTGGGACAGATCACATACAGAAATTACAGAAAATACACTCTCATCTTTGAATTAAAATAAAAGACAAATATCGCTGTCATACCTTCTCTCATTGTACAGGGTGAGTCAACGATAGAGTAAAGTCCATTATCTCATTTGTTTCGAGGTTTACAAAAAAATATTAAATATGAAAGTTATAGGGACGGTTAAGATACACATTTTAAAATTATTATAGAGTATACAGGGTGCTTCAAAAAAGTGTGGCGAATATAACATATGTTTTTTTAAATGCAACACCCTATTTTTTATTTTATTTTTAAATTCTGCGTAAAATTCCATAACTTTATTATATGTAATGTTATATACCTAAAATACATAGTTTCTGTGATATTTGAATTTGTTTAAACAAATGTTAGATTGCAGTGTGATAAAAAATTGTCAGTGATGCCCTTGTTTCTGAAGTTAAACAACTAAAATTTGGTAGGAGAATTTTATAGAGATATAGAAAAAGACCTATATAAAGATATTTTAGTTAGATGCTACAGGGTGTTCAAAATATATTTATGAATTCCAACTACTTAAAATTAAGAAATTTCAATTTTTTTAAATGGTACACCCTATATATTATCATTTTTTCTGATAGATTTTACAAAACTCTTCTACTTTTATTAAGTATGTCATATACCTATTTTTAATAGTTTGAGATTTATTCGAATTTTTTCTATTTTTACCCATATTTTTACAACTACGCTAAAACATCATGGTTGCCATGACAAAAAGTAATAATTATCAAAATTTCATGTTTGTTAAGCAAGTTAAGAAAAAAATTTGAATTTTAGTTTAACTTGTAATAAGTATAAATGGTACAAATAATAGTTACAGATTTTCCTTAAATGAATTAGTCAGTGTGATGGATATACACGAACAAGCCATGAAAAACATATTTTTTGGTTCAGTACTATATATTATATAGTACTTTGCTACGTAACTATAAGAACAGATGTAGATTATCTAGAAAACATATTCAGTGTGTAATGGGACAGTTTCGCGGCAGTAGTATAATAGTAGCTTTACGAAATGAATTATAAACCAGAATTGCTCTACGAATTGCTAATGTAACTAAAAAAAATAATTTATGTTGAAGAAAATTCCTATATCAGTAGTCTTCAACATTTAGGTAATCTAGTATTACCCTAATCTATTCCCGATGGAAAATCCCCCCCCCCCAAGTGTCATCTTTCATGATATAGAAATACACCAAGAAATTCAGAAATGCGATTTTATTATTAAGCTACTTGTTAAAGATAAGTAATAAATAGTTTTGTTTTGTCATGGCAACTATGATTTTATAGCGTAATTGTAATAACATGTAATAAAAATTGTATTTGTAATAAAAATATGGGTAAAAATATAAAAAATTAATAATAGGTATATGACATACTTAATAAGAGTTTTGTAAAATCTATCAGAAAAAATTATAATATATAGGGTGTCCCATTTAAAACATTTGAGGTTTTTTAATTTTAAGTAGTTGAAATTCATAAATATATTTTGAACACCCTGTATTATTTAACTATAATATCTTTACATATATCTTTTTTTTCATCTCTATAAAATTCTCCTACCAAATTTTGGTTCTCCAACTTCAGAAACAATGGCACCACTGACAATTTTTTACCACACTGCAATTTAACATTTGTTTAAACAAATTGAAATATTGCAAAAACTATTAATTTTAGGTATATAACATTATATATAAAAAAGTTATGGAATTTTACGTATTTAAAAAAACATATGTTATATTCGCCACACTTTTTTGAAGCACCTTGTATACTCTATAATCATTTTAAAATGTGTATCTTAACCTTCCCTATAACTTTTATATTTAATATTTTTTTGTAAACCTCGAAACAAATGAGATAATGGACTTTACTCTATCGTTGACTACAGACTATAGTTATATTACATCATTAGATCTTCGTTCCGAAAAGAGATTTGTAAAATTAATGCTTTTTAACATAATGTCTTAATATCGCACCATAGTATGTTTGCATTGCTTCTGATCAGAATGAAGTAAATAAATACACCTTTATGTTTTTATGAGCAATAATGTTCAACGCCTTATAAAAATTAAATACTATATTATATATATTTTGATAAGCTTATTTATTTCATAAAAGTATTTTAAATAGCTTGTTTGTTAAGGCTTAAGATTTACCTAGTTCATAAATTGTATACATCCCTAATAAATTCTAATGCTGCATTTTTTCACGTTAGGGGGCCAAAATAAAGCAGTTTGGGAAGATGTAACTGGTTCCACTCCACTAACTTTCGTGAAAGACTGTGTATCGTTTACCACCACAGTATCTGCACGATTTTGGTTAATGGACTGCAGAAATGTAGCTGATGCGGCTAAAATGGCTACAGAATTATACACTCAGGTATGTGGAAATACCATATTTCTTTTAGAATACTTTTTTCTAATGTATCTTCTTATTATATCGGATTTTATATAAATATTGATATCAACATAATATTCCCTATGATAATTGTCTATCTAATATTGGCTTCTGATATGGGTGAGTCTTGCATAACTTAGTCTATGCTTAATTTGCACTAAATAAGTGCAAATATTTTTAAGGTTTTTTTATGAGTTTTTTTCGCAAAAATAGATGTTGAAATCGTGCATTTTCTTTTAAATTTTCCTTGTGTAATAAAATTCCTTATATAAATAAATAAAGGAACTTTCTAGAACTGCCTGTTCATCGCAAATTTACTCACAATATAATTTCTTAATCTTTCATATTACCATGGTTTACTCTATGCTTTGAACTCTATGGTTATGACACTAAAAGTAAATACAGAATAAAATCCGGTAGCTGTCAATTAAAAAAAAACGAGAAAGGGAAAATATGTTTTTATCGAGTTCTCCCAGCCCTGAAAATATTAGCACATTCAAGACTCACCCTGTGTATAAGAAAAAATCTATGGTTTTTCTATAATATATTTTTGGCTGTTTATCGAAAAAATATAGGTCCCCCATTAAACAAGTTTTTGAAACAATTGAAATATAGATGCAAGATACAAAATATAGTAGTAATAAAGTATTTTCATTCAATAAAAGTTGAAGAGTATACCCCGCTGGCAAGCGAACCTTTGGGTCTGCGTTTACATGTATAGGAGTGAGTCGTTATGGCAATCTAGTAAGTCGGAGTAAGCAAAAATACGAAGTATTTATTGCATAACTACTTAATCTGACGCTAGATTTCATGCGCTTGGGAAAATACTCGCCTTCTGTCTTTATTCAGTACATCTTATTTTACTAAGCGTGTTGACTGTACTCTTCGTACACATGAAAACAGGCACCCAAGACCAGAAATGCCGACCCTTAGTATATGGTCTGTTATTTAAAAGAGTTGTGATTTTTTAATTATAAATAGTCAAATATAAAACTAAACGTTGTCAAATATAAAGTTATTTTGAACACCCCGTTGTATCTAACTCAACTATTTTTACATAATATGTTTTTTTCTTTATCTTTTTGACAACAATTTTGACACAAATTTTGAAAACTCTAACTTCAGAATCAATAAGTCCAGTGACATTTTTTTAACACACTGAAAACATAATATTTTTTTAAATTGATATATTCTCAGGGAAGATTTCGATAGACGATATCCAAAAATGACAGATATACAATTTGCCTGTGAATTAAAATGACAGACACAACTGTCACTCTCATAAATCTTCCTGCACTGGAGAGACTAGTAAATAATTTATACCTTTGTGGTGGATTTATTTCTTGAAATTACTTCTGGAGTTTTCGCCACTAGAACATACAACAACTTTTGGGCATAATATACGAAAAACTTATAGAATTTTAAGCAGAATCTAAAATTGAGATTGTACTTCACCCTTTTTTAAGCACCCTGTATACTCAAAAACTACTTTAAATTGTGCGTAAATTTTTGTTTGTATTTATTTTTATTTGAATTATTCTATTTAGGCTGCACATGTACCTTTCATGGCAAAATTTGTCGTTTTTGCTAAGAGAGTGAGTCAGCTGGAAGCGAGGGTACGCGTTTTTTGTATGACTGATGACAAAGAAGACAAGACTTTAGAACACCAAGAACATTTCACAGAAGTTGCCAAAAGTAGAGATATAGAGGTAGAGTATTAAAACCATAATGATATAACAACTATAAAAATATGGCTTTTAGGTTTTGGAAGCCAAAGACATTTACATGGAATTTGCGGGTAATTTAATTCCAGTTCTTCAATCAAATGACCAACCTCGCTTAGGATTCAAGGCCTTCAAAGAAAACAGATGCGCGTTTAATATGAGATTAAGGGATCATGTATGTACTATTTGATCGAAAAAAAGGCGTTCAGTTGGCTTGGAAATGACGATTGATGACATTCCCCATATCATTTTACATATAAAATGACAGCGATGATCATTTCATAGCCATGGCTGACGCTTTTTGTTTCAATCATTGTATTAACGATTTGTTTATTATAATATTTAATTCCAAATGTATTTTTGAAGGACGAAGAGCCAGTGGGTAGAATAATTTTCATGTCTGAAGCTAAAGCCGGACGTACTGGTTATACTCAAAGCAATCCGCTTTGTACATTGAACTTTATTTTGCCTAAAGAAGTACTTCCCGACAGAGACTCACAGTCAGATTTATTATCGATTAACAAAGATCATAGTTATCTGCAACATGGAGGCATTAGTAAGTGATTAGCTTGATAAAATTGAATGTAAAATAAATGAAAATTTATTTCAGGTAAACCAGACACAATTCATAGAGCCGATTTTAGATTGTCGGACATTTGCAATCTTCTCGATGAAGATTGGGAAAAATTAGCTTTAGAGTTGGATATTCCCCCTTCAGATGTAGAACTGATTAAGGAAGAATATCCCGAAAACCATCCGCAACAAGGAATGATTATGTTTCGGTTGTGGTTGAGACAGAAAGCAAATAAGGCTACAGGTCAGTCGGATCTTGTTATTAACTTATCACTAATATATAAGTGGTTCTAGTCATTTAGGGGCGTTCATCAATTACGTAAGAGAATCAAAGGGGAGGGGGTCAAGCCGAATCTCACTAAATCTCTCGTGGGGGAGAGCCGGGTTTCGGCAAATATGACGTCATTTTTTTCGAGCGAATCGAGCAATAAATTTTATTCACCACGGACGAAAAATTTTCGTCCATTGACGCCTACTTTTGATGACGTCATGCGTTAGCATTTAGGCCTTTTTTACATGATGATAATGATTGAGTTCAAACCCTAACCTGTACAGTCACACAGGTTGTTTTTATGTGCATCATTTTCGTCCGTTGACGCCTACTTTCGATGACGTCATGCGTTAGCATTTAGGCCTTTTTTACATGATGATAATGATTGAGTTCAAACCCTAACCTGTACAGTCACACAGGTTGTTTTTATGTGCATCATCTCAAAGATCATGCAGTAAAATCAATTTTTATTTTATATAGAGTTATGAGTGACAGTATATCGGAAATTATTAAATTGGGGTTATAATTGATTTCAGGAAATCAGTTGGAATTAGCACTGAATAAAATTGGACGACAAGATATTGTAGACAAATGTATATGCAACGTTGAGCTGGTTACAGATGACATGGAAAAAGCTCTTGCTAAAATTCATTTAGATCAATCTGGTAGAAAATAATTTTATATAATATTTACAACAATGCTAATTATTTCTTATACCAATCTACAGGTTTTGACTATTTAAAGGACGAATTAGGTCCTTCACGTGACACATCTTTGAGACGAGATACTCACCTAGATAGATCGTATTTAGGCAGCGAAGAAAAATTAGAAAGAAGCGAAAAAAGTGGTAATGCGTTTTTAACTAATCATGTCTTTCGTTTATTAAAACATATACATTTTTAGATGAAGTGGATAATGAGAACCAAAATTCTACGGGAAAGGATATTTCAGATACTAATGTTGATAATAGAAGGCAACATATACCAACTTCTGAAATTATTTTAAATGGCAATCAGGAGATTTCAGAAAAACCTCTTAAAGTAGTAGTTACAAATAAGTTAGATAATGCTATAACAACTCCCCCTCCTACTCCCAATGAATTCAGTAATCAAGAAGACTTTGTTAATAGAAATGTTGACGAAATTCAGAATTTAGAAAGTAAGTTTTGATGTTTACATTATGTGTGCTTTATTTTTTATTTTTGGACATAAGAATTTTTGGAAATTGAAGGCCTTATTTAAATGAACTGTATAAATGCTTCAATTACCAAAAAATTCTTTTATGGTTTTTTCTTTTGCAGCATTTGGTTATTAACACATTCATGCCCATTTTAATACAGCTTTTATTTCTTCCTTCTTTAGCATTCTGGTAAAGGCTTTTTCTATATTATTTTCTTGCAGCTCATCGCTAATTACTGCTATTTCTTTTACTTTAGATTTAGTAAAAATGGTATTTGACAGTTAATTTCAGAACTTAGATTACAAGAAGGTCTTTCATAAATAATACAACAATTTTTTGAAATAAAATACTTATAGTCCTAAATCATATTAGTTCAGCCCAAAATCTATTATTCTTGTGTTATATATGAACTGTATAATTACGTCCTCTTGTAAAATATAGTTTTAGACAATAGTGTTCCGTCGCTAAAATATGCTTTATAGAAAAATAAAAATTAGAAGAAATGGGAATAATTTTAATTATTTTTTTACGAATTGTCAAATACCAAGAGAGTTGAATAATATTCAATCCTAAAATTTTCACAAGGAATTCCAATCCAAGTCGACGATGTCAAGCAACAAGAACTCTTCACTTCAACACCTTTAAAAAAAGGGTTAGAACCAGATCTTAACCCTTTCGAAATTTTAAAGAAAAACGTTAGTGACACGCTAACATTCTTGCATCAAGAACGAAACGATTTCTTACCTCAAGAAGATATTATCATTCCTAGTCGAAAAGATGATCATATTTCGAAAGAGATTGATTTAGAATATATTAGTTTAAAAACGCCAAAGAAAAACCAGGAATTTGTCTTTAACGAATCTAAGGATATTAAAAAAGAGATTCCACAACAAGAACAACACGTTGAAAAATTACAATATGCAACTAAATCAACGAGTGTTAAATCCGATTTAGAAGTCAATAATGAAGAAAGTATAACTGAAAACAGAGACGAACTTGTAAAATTAGTCTCAGTATCTACTCCATCTGAAGAAAACTCCACAAACAAGACTTCTGAGGTTCGATTCCATGAAGATGTTAGTCCAAAAGATAACCATGTGGAAAACTCCATTCCTTATGATTATGAAGATTCCGTACGGGACATTGCCCAACAGGAAGTCCAAGATGTTATTAAGCAAGCCGAAGAGGTAGTAAACTACATGCAAAATGAACAAGAACAGTTTTTGCCCAATGATAAAGAAATTAAATTCCACGTAGAAGAACGAGTAGATAGCGTATTTGATGACATAAGGACGAATACTGAAGATTCTTTAGACAATTTAGAGAGTCTTAAAGACGACTCTATTAGTGCTATACAAGAGAAAAGCGAGGAAGCATTTAAATTCTTAGAACAAGAAGCCTCAAGTCCGTTGTTATCGAAGCCATCTCCCGATACAGATGAATTCATTTCGAAACACAGTTCAGCTTTAGACGATTCCGCGGCCTTTATACAGAGAGAAACAGAATCTGAGTTGAAAGATGATATAAGCTTTTCAGAATCACAGAGTGAAGATTCATTGAGTCCAAAGAGCTCCATTCCTCTAGCGAAGACGAGAAAGGGCAAAGACAAAAAGAAAGGAAAAAATAAAAATAAGAAAGGTATGTGTAGTTTTAAATGCTTTTATTTAAATCTAGGTTACTTATAAATAGTTTGTTTATTCTTAAAAAATAATATAATAAAGTATCATGTTCAGAATTTAGTAATTTTATCACTGCCAGCTAATGTTACTTAATATTTTAAAGGAAAACAATTATGTAAGTACATAATAGGTTACAAAGATTTAACTACGGTAAACGCAAAACATTTTCCGATGCACGTCATCAATCATATCGAAATTGACACTAAAGCCTATAAACCTGACAATAAAATTTTGGCCAAAAATATTTAAATTTGTTGTATAATTCAAGATATCGAGCAGCTCTTCATTTTACTTTATAGGGCAAATGATTACAACATATTTTCTTTAGATTAAAGCTGCAAAAATTAGTTTAAACCGAGTATTATTTATTATTATCGCTATGTTGGTCACATTGCGCCATGTTCAGCAACGTTGTCGTTTATTATTTGACAATTATCATAATGTCATTATTTTGTATAATATCGTGTTGTGGAATCTTTGTGAGTAAGTCTCGTTTTTTGCCTATTTTCATAGTTTTTTTTAAACTGTACTTTTAAGCACAAACAGTTCTTTTAAGAACTAAATTTTCGAGTTTTTGTATTGCATTTCTTTTAAACAGTCGAAGCAAAGAGCTTGTAGCTTCTCTGATAAACTATTTTGAACGAGAACGTGACAAAAGAAGGTCCTTTATTTTTATTACCCTTGACTGCAGTCAGAGAAGTAAGTTTAATTGGTAAACAATCATCAAAAATACATACGACTTTCAAAGTTTTTATTAAACACGTTTGTTTTTATTAAATTCTGTGATTACAAATTTGTGCATTAATGGCACCCATTTACTTGTTATTACCAGTTGTGGTATTTTAAGACGTACATCAATAAATAAGTAAATAGCACATAATAACGCTTAGAATAATCTTCATAATGGACTAGTTTTTGCCAATATATAAGTAAAATAAGCTATAAAACAAGTAAATCAATTAATTACTAAAATATTAATTAGTAAATTAAAAACAAAACGTAAAAATATTAAAAAAAAATATATATAATAAATATATTGTTTCCCAATTTTACATTAAGATTCATCTCATAAATCCATCACAATCTGGTTTTTGCTGCCGAATTACTAGAATACAATATTTCAAGGCAGATGACGGATCTATTCGATAATTTTTATTCGAATAGTTTTCAACGAATGTTTTCTTACTAACTATCGAATTATTCGAATGAATTGCAACTATCGAATGTTTCGATAGTATTCATTCGATAGTTCCCACTACTAATTAGGGTGTCTCCTTGTTGAGGTTGAGACTGTCAGTTTTGGATGGCCAGATTTTTATAGTGACATGACAAATTGAATCAAGTCAGTAGCATGCGTTTTTCATTGAACAGTGTTCTTGTTAAAATCTTATCAATTCGTAAATCTACTAAATTGAGAAATTTTTTAATCCACATCTAATCTTACCGTAATGTTCATGTTAGGCAATATTGAGAACTTAAGTACACGGCATGTAGATTTTTTGTAAAAAGGTGCAAAACTTTTTTTAGAATACTTAATGATATTGTTTTATATAAACACAATTATTATATTTTTCACAGCACAAATTTTGACAAGATTTAAATGTTTTTTAACTGAAATATTTGCATTACGTGAGTAATTTGGGGAGTGTTTTCATACGTCATGGATTAATTAGCATCCATGCAATTTCAAAGTATTAATGCACTCTAAATAGCTGATTACAGTCTACCCACGGGAGAATTCATAACTGTAACATTGTTCCCTGTCATTTAATTCAAAACTAAATGGTATTCTTGAAAATATCCCAATTTTTGGATGAATTTTGTTTAATTTGCCCTCCCTCGTTGGGCAGATTTTAGTTTATGGCTACTGCGGTCAAAAACTCTAACTAATGTTCAAATTTATTTATATAATACATATACCGGGTGTTTTTCGAAAGTGTAACTTTTTTGTGTGTACCCCTATAACTTTCGTTTTAGAGAAAACGATATTTGGTATGTTAACATATGACATAAATCAGGATTGATTGACATATTCAGTTAGTTTTCGTCACTCCTTGTTTCACCGGAAATGACTACAACTCTTGATTTTTTAAGCGGTACCCTCGGTTTTTGTTTACTTTATTTGATAGCAAATGATGTTCTGAATAGAAGGTCCTATCATATGTCAACTTTGGGCAATTACGCTTAGAAATAGTATTTAAATTTCAATCTAGAGTGTCATTGCTGTGTTAAAACCACTAATTTTTAATCAAGGAGCCATGAAAAAATAGATTTATTTGTTTATTTATTGTAATGTTTTTTCTGTAGAGTATCACTAAAAAGTTAATAAAGCTCTCTTCCTGGCCAAAGATGACCAAATCGTAGTTTTAATCATAACCAATTTTTTCAATGAAGGAGGGTAACTTATTTTTTTTAATTTTTTTTACCAATAGTTTGGTCTTACATACTATTTTAAGTCAAATTGTTGTTATGAACACAGCTGACACTCTAGGTCGAAATTTGAAATACTATTTTTTAAGCGAAAATGTAAAAAGTTGACCCCCGTTCCATTTGAAAAAATTGAGATATGATTAAAAATACGATTTGAGCATTTTCTAACTGGCCAGGACAAGACACTAAAAACATTAAACGATTAAATCTATTTTTCCAAGGCTCCTTGATTAAGAATTGGTGTTTTTTACATAGCCATGGCACTCTAGATTGAATTTTAAAATACGATTTTTTATTAAGTGAGAATGTCAAAAGTTGACATATGATATGTCATTAATAAAATTGTTTGCTTGTTCTAAAATAGTTAATCCCGCGCGCGTTTATACCTTTCTATAGTAATAACATTTCGATTTCGTTCTTTGATAGATTGTTATTGTTAATTTTGATGATCATATTTTTGCTGTTGTTAAAGTATCATATTTCCAAACTATTATCACCCTTTCCGTAGCGTCAAACTAAGTAAATTTTGTGCTTCTTTAATATTTTAAAACAGCAAAAAATACGACTTTAATTAAAATACCATCAATAACAATTTATGAAAAAATGAAAACGAAATTATATTACCATAGAAACGCGTTTTGATTTTTAGGTTAGGACTTCAAAAATTCAACTATATTTCCATGTTTTTTAATTTTTTTTTCCTAAAACGGTATGGAAATTTCGATAAGTATAAACGGGATTAACCATTTTAAAACAGGCAAAACTTTTTATAATAATCTGTTCTGTTATTTCCCTTTTTATGAAATTTAAAAAAATGTGATATACTTTATACTTATTTTCATAAAAGGAAAATGTGCATTAATATTGTGCATATCTTTTTAACATAAATCAACTTAGTTGTTAGAGTAGATATTATTATTCTCTTCAAAATATCATTTTCTATCAAATAAAGTAAAAAAAAATACCGAGGGTCCTATTTAAACAGCAAAAGTTTTATTGGCCGCTAATAATTGAACGTATTCAATCATTTTCGGTCACTTCCAAATTAATCCTGATTTACGTCATATACAAATTTACTGAATCTCGTTCTTTTGCCTGAAAAAAATAAAAAAGTTATAGGGGTGAGCCAGGGGTGAGGTTTTAAAAACACACGGTATGGTTTTTCATTTCGATAAGAAATTCCTTATCATAATTTACTAATTGAATAATAGTCCAAAGAGATAAATTAGATTGATGCTTTTAAAAAATTACTAAGAAATTATTTTGCTTTCTACATTTTTTTTAATTAATTTTAGAAGTAACTAATGATGAAGAAAACGACGAAACCAACAGAGATTGCAAATCCCCAACCGAAGACGAATTACAAAGCAAAATACCGATAGTAAAAGGCAGTAAAGTCAAGACAATCAAAAAGCATTCGAAAGATCCGCTAAAAGAATTCGCTACGATATCCAAAGATATAGACTGGGATAAAGACGACGAACAAACAGTTACAACGAAAATAATCAAAACGGTAACAACAGATCCGATCGTAAAAACGACAGTTACAAGAATCACCTCAGAAACGCTACCCGAAAGTGTTAAAAGTAAAATTCCTGTTCTGTCGAGCGGATCGAGTCCCCAAAAAGACGAAAGAGCATCGGCGGAGGAATTGGGCGACCAGGGCAGTGGCAAAAGCAAAATACCCGTACTTAAAACCGAGAGCATGACGATAACGCCGCCCGACGTCATACTCACCGAAAGAACGACGGTGTCGCCCAGTTCGACGCGAGTCATAGAAACGACAACGACGACGATAGTATCCCCTATTTCTCAGACTTCAACAAAGTCGAGTACCGTCGATTCAGACTCGGACGACGAGTCGAGACGACAGTCGCCGCGGTTGAAAAGCATTTTGAAGAAGTCGCCTCAACAGCAGCCGCCCGTTCATCCGGTAGGTAGTTCCAGTGGCTCCGACATTGCGCTGCACGAAGAGGGCGGCGAATTAAGTTCAGATTCAGGTATGTCAGGTGGTGTGCCACTTCTTGCATTAGAACTCTGTAACGCTATATATAATAGTTGATTCTATGAGGCATGTTTATCTAATAAACTTCAGAATATTACTAAAGAGTTTTAATTATTCCTATTTTTTTCGGAATAGATCTGAATTATACGTTTGGGTGACATGAAATGCCACAATGGGCTCTTGCGGTCTCAGTATACCTCTATACAAAAGTGCTTTGTTTGTCTGTTAGATGATCATCAAACTTTAAAAAAAAATATTATGTATACAGGGTGCTACAAATTTGAGGTACGAGCATTGGTATCTCGGTAACCGTAATAGATACGAACATGGTTAAATTGGGGCAAAGTTGCGCTTTGGGATGTTCACCAAGAAGCCATCAAAAAAGTTTTAAAAATTTCAAGGATTGCTGAGTTTTTGGGAAAAAACGGATTTTTTTGAAAATTAATTTTATTTTTTCCTGCATTTACTTTTAAGAAAATTATAAAACTAATTGCACATTCTCATAGCCACTTTACAAGAGCCAAGTGAGGGTATTTTTAGATTTTTAAATTAGCTGATAATTTGTGAGATACAGAGACCAACTTAATTTTTTTAAATACGGACCTGCAGTTTTTATTTCAGGTTTTGAAAGAACTCGGTCTCCTGAGTACAATGATATGCCACACTTAATTTTTTTTTGTTTCAGACATTTGAACACAATTTATTTAAACTAATTTCAAGTCCGGTTCTGTTTTTAAATATTTAATCTAGTCATCGTTATAATATTGATAAGCTTTCAAACTTAATAATGACGTGGGGTAAAACATTGAATATGGAAAATCAAATGCAATAAAATGATAAAAAATAATATACAAATGAATACATTACTTCACGTCATTTGTAAAAGTGAAATCAATACATCTCAACATTTACAATAAATAAAGAGTACAAAATGCATTCGGAAGTATAAGAAGAAAGTTCAAAGAACTATAAATAAAATTGAACGAAAAATAAATTTGTGCAATAGGGAGGGTGGTAACCCTTTCAAATATGTAGAACATTAGTCACTAGTTTGTAGAAGTTGATTTATTTATAATAACTACGATTAACATTACCCATATTATTAGATCGCACACTGAGATTTCAAATTCACAATAAAAAAAGTTAAAAATGATATCTTTAAATTGCTGACCTGGATATATTTTATTTGAATCTTGGCTCGATTTTCCTTATTCAATGTTAATTAACGCTGATCAATATTGTTGCGATGAATATAATCAGATTAAATAATTTAAAAAACCAGACTCGGACTTAGACTATTTTAAATAATAATTAAATAGTTTTGTTGTTGTTAAGGTACCGAAAACAAAAAAAAGTATAAAGTGTGGCATATCATAGTACTCAGGAGACCGAGTTCTTTCAAAATCTGAAATAAAAAATGCAGGTCCGTATTTAAAAAAATTAAGTTGGCCTCTCGATCTCAAATTATCAGCTAATTTGAAAATCTAAAAATACTATCAGATAGCCCTAATAAAGTGGCTAAGAGAATGTGCAATGAGTTTTTGATTTTCTTAAAAGTAACTTTAAAATAAGTAAGAAAAAATAAAATTTGTTTTCAAAAAAATCAGTTTTTTCCAAAAAACTCAGCAATCCTTGAAATTTTGAAAACTTTTTGACGGCATCTTGGTGAACATCCCAAAGCGCAACTTTGCCCCAATTTAACTATGTTCGTATCTATTACGGTTACCGAGATACCAATGCTCGTACCTCGAATTTGTAGCACCCTGTATACATTAGTGTGTTTCAAAATAAAATAAAAAATTCTTATGGTGTTGAAAAGTTGAAAGTACATTTAAAAACAAAAATTTTGGCGCCTAGTAGAACCCTTAATATTAATATTAATTTTTGTTGTTTTCTTCAATTTATGTATTGTTTTTCATTTAAATAACACGGATTTTTTTTTTAATTTTGAATTTTAATAATTTCGGAATGGTTTGTTTCCGCAATATCCTCGCGAGAAGATTTATAGGAAATTTCATGCTCTACAAAAAACGTCTAAAGGTCAGTTCTTCAGATCAACCGTCTCAGAGATATCAGCAATTAAAAATAACACCAATCGAAAATTCGATATTTATATAATTTTTCCTATAAAATCACTTCAATTCTGTTGACCTATGACTGTAATCATTTTTTTGTTAATTTACTCTACTCGTACCTCACAAAATACACAATTATATAAATAATATTTATATATTTGTATATAAAATTGTATATAAATATTATAAACTTTTCAACACCATAAGATTTTTTTTTATTATTTTGAAACACCCTAATATACATATATTCATTTTTTCAGATAATTTAAGAACCGTTATTCCGATTTGAATGAGCTTTGGGATCTCTACGTTTTGCTTTAACATTTGACTTTCACAAAAAAAAACAGGAAAAAATACGGGAAGGATGAAAACTACCCCCACTCGTGCATTAGTAGAAATATTTTCTAACTCCACTGACTGATTTTTTTTGTCGTCAAATAATGGTCTCCTTAATACTTCCTGCATTTTTTGCCTCTTCTAAAAAAACGCCACATTCCATATTTTTTAGATAAAAAAATTTTGAGTTTTTTTTTTCAAAGCTGACCTACAAAATATACAGAGAGTTACAATATTTCGTGAACATAGAAAAACTACGTATTTCGAATTAAAATAAGTTAATTACACGCAATTTACCTCTGTATAAAAGTACTGGTTAACTAGATTATTAGGTTACATAGCTTGATATGCAAAGAAATATTTTTTGTAAGTCAGCTTCACCAAAACATTTTTTTTACAAGCGACTAAAATGTAGTAAAAAAATCAGTCATCAGTCTAGAGTTAGAAAATACTTTTACCAAAATTTATGTGGAGATAATTTTCACCCTTCCCGTACTTTTTCTTGATTTTTAGTAAAGTAGTAAAAGTAAAAAGTAAAGTTAAAAAGTGTTCAGTTTTAGTAAAAGTAAATGTTAACGCGCTTAGCAAAACATAGACACCCCAAATCATATGCAAATCGGAATAACGGTTCTTAAAATATCTTAAAAAATGTGTTTATTTTTTTAAAATTTGATGCCATCTAAAACGGACTAACGGACAAACGAAGTACTTTTGTATAGGGGTAGATCCAATGTCCACTGAACTTATTTTGATTCCAAAAAATAAGTAGTAGTTCTATGTCCATGGAATAATGGCACACCCCGTAGATATTCTCCAATTTTTATTTTATAAAAATTACATTTATTTCAGTTTGACTATACTTATACCAAATATTGATAATTTTAATTTTTTATGCCAACATATAATCAACTAAAGTTTTTCGTAGAATTTAGTTCACGTTAAAAACACAATATAGAATTAATATAAAAACTGCATGGCTGTTTGTTAGTATTAAACTATTATTCTAGGGATAATTTTCGATATACATATAGACTGATTCAACGACTACGTTAATAAATATGTTATAATATAAATATGATATTGAAGGTGTATTTACATGAGTGTAAGCTCACAATTGATGAATATTTGTTATAGTTTACAGGATTATTTAAAGAAATATTAATTTTGTGTTCATTACTTTTAATGTTGGAACATATATTTATGGGGCTTAAGTTCTAAAATGTTATGATTGGTTATATACCGGGTGTTTCTCAAAAGTGGCTCACTCCTATAACTTTTTTATTTTTTCAGATTTAGAAAATTTTCAGATTTTATTTTTTAATTTCAGATTAGAAAATTTTCAGATTTTATTTTCAGAACGAAATATTAGTATCGGAATATATAGAAATCGGAATTAATTGACGTATTTAACTACTTTTGGTCACTTCCTGTTTTACCGGAAATTACTATAACTGTTGATTTTTAAATGGTACCTCGGTATTTTTTTACTTTATATGATAGAAAATGACATTCTGAATAGAATTACATATATGTCAACTTATCACATATGACATTTTCAATAAAAAAATAGCATTTTACGGATGCATGATAATCCACCTTTAGGAAGATCTGGAGCCCGATTCTGTAAACATATTTCCTGTCTAGTGACTCATCAATCGTATACAAATGACATAGGCTAGATAGGAAATTCCTTGCCACGGAGCTTATGGAATCGCACTGCAGGTCTGTATACAGGGTGCGTCTCAAAAGTGGCTCACCCCTATAACTTTTTTATTTTTTCAGATAAAACAATGAGATTTGGTATGTTAGTATATGACATAAATTAGGATTGATTGACATATTCAATTGTTTTCGGTCACTTCCGGTTTCACCGAAAATTACCAGAAATTTTGGATTTTAAATGGCACCCTCGGTATTTTTGTACTTTATTCGATAGAAAATGACTCTCTAAATAAAATGACATATCACATGTTATTTGAAATTATAACATGCTGTGCATAACGACAATTTGACTCGAAATACGAAGTGTGTGGTATCAAATTATTCATAAAAAATGCTTTTTCCAAATAAGCTAACGAGCCACCCTCGTTCCATTTGAAAAAACTGAGATATGATTAAAAATACGATTTGGGCATCTTTTAACCGGTTAGGACAAGACAGTAAAAACATTAGGCGATCAAATGTATATTTCCACGGCTCCTTGATTAAAGATTAGTGCTTTTACCACAACAATGGCACTCTAGATTGCAATTTCAAATACAATTTGTTTTTGAGCGAATATGTCAAAAGTTAACATATGATATGTCATTCGATACGGAGTGTTATTTTTTATCGAATAAAGTAAAAAAATACCGATGGTACCATTTAAAAATCAAAAGTTGTAGTCATTTCCGGTGAAACAGGAAGTGACCGAAAACAATTGAATACGTTAATCAATCCTAATTTATGTCATATACTAACATACCAAATTCCATTCTTTTATCTGAAAAAAATAAAAAAGTTATAGGGGTGAGCGACTTTTGAGACGCACCCGATATACCGGGAGATGTTTTTCAATTGTGACTTGTTACTCATCGATAAATAA